AATTATATCTCTATTATATAAATGAACGATCAGGCCTACGTTGCAAATGTATAATTGTCAAAGCATGTGACAGCCACGCGGTCTAAGCCGTAATTAAAGATGGGTGCAAGAACCGTGCGTGACTTCACAATTATATTTTTGCTTCGGAAGATATATCATATCGAACGACTATATCTGACACGTATACACGCATATATATTATAGATATTCAAATCGTCAAACTTAATTATCTATTACTCTAATCGTGACACTTATGTGAATATTATTGCACACTTTAATCAGTATAACGTGTAATAAAGCGATACTGTCCTTTACGTCAACAATGATTTAACAATTAATTTATATATCGTCTTACCTAACACTGCCGAAACCTAAGACAGGAATGTAGAAATAATATATTGATATCTTAATAAGGCATATACAGTAGAAAGTGAAATTTCAATTTTCAGACAGAAAAAAATATATGAAATTGAAGTAATGAATTTTTGAATTTTTATCGTACAAAGACGGCTGTAAGGTGCAGTACTGATTCATATGTCGAAGAATATCGATATAGTCGACTCTGCCTAATTTCGTATCCTGAGAGGTTTGGTAGCGATATTACAGAGAGCGCTATCAAAGAACGTTCCCCTTCTCTTGACACCAGCTACCCTTGCTCGCGTGACCGTAGAACTCGCGGTGAAGAAAATGAAATCTATTCTCCGCCTAGTGCGATTAATAAAGAAAGGAATTTCGAGGATGCGAACTTGGAGAGCATTTACTGCGATAGGTCTTACAGAAGATTCGCCGACAGTAAAATATGGTCCAGAGTCGTATCCTATAGCGAGTCTATATCTGTACGTTCGATAATAAATTATTAATGAATTTCATTTGGGTCATTTGAAATTATTGAAATATTTGAAGAAAAAAAATCTTTTCTCATCAGACTGGTTTATATTGCCGCAATAAAAGCAGTGACACGCGCTGACATTGCATCCGATTAAAATAAACTCCGTCCATGCTACTCCCGTCAAATAAGAAAGCAACCGACCGTCAGAATCAGAATCAGAATCGTAGCTATCGGAAGGGTTTGATCAAGATCAAGATCCAAGGGGCTGATGGTTGCCCCGCAGGACGAATGTCGCGGGTGGCCGCAGGTGGCGCCCTCGATATAAGCTCTTCTGACTAAACTCCTGATACAGGCTGCGCGCCCAAACTCTCACGATGGAATGTGTCATCCTGTCACTGAACTCCTGGACCAGACTATACGAGTCTCATGCTCCCGTCACACGTCCTTCGACTGGCCGATGTTCTGCCCAGCATAGACGTAGGTCCAACCCTATGGGCATATACCTACCCTGACCTCAAATCCTTCACTCGACTCCTTCACCATTGCCATAGTCACATCTGCCAGCATGAGACTTTCCACCCTTCTCTTACACTTCACACCCTTACACGACACCCTCGAGCCGATCGCGTAAAAACGTGCGCGGAAAACTAGAACTGTCCGTACTATGCCAGGGGTGATGATCGGTCCTTTTTCGTGAAATAGGAATTTTTTTTTGGGAGAAAAATTTTTAACTCGAATAAAAATCTCATGTATCGTCATTTTTTAATTGAAATTAATAACCCGATCGGTGGATTTTTTCATCTGATATTTCGTTGTATTTTTAATAACCCTTTAGAAAAAATTCATGGATTTAATAAAAATCCAAATTTCATTCTCGTGGACTGGGATATATTTATAATTAGAATCCGGAAATGGCCACGCGTAAGTATGACGTAAGTAGGTACGCGGCCCTTGATCGACCTGATAATTCCAAATAAATCGAGAAATGATTCTGGAAATGAGAAAATACACAGGATCGTAGACTGACGAGAAGTAGATTAACCTACCATTAAAGAGGTGTACACAAGTCGATCCAACTGCCACTCAAAAAAGTCAGGGCCGTACACTGACTCATTAAATAGTCGGATAAGTTCATTACTTTCCATAGGAGGTTGATAGTAACCGAGAAATTAGCTACGGTGTCTCGTGTAGAAAATAAATTCTTACGATCGACAGCTTTGGCCTCCCTGGTCAACCCGTGCCGACAAATAGCTATTCATGCCTTTAATAACGTCACTGTACATAAAACTATAACTATACATACGTGTATAACGTAGTCACCGTAAATAATGATTACCAGCTAAAATCACCTACATAACTCTCCCGGGAATACATATTATCGCAGAATCAAGTTTTCCTGGCCGTTTAGTTTTTCCTCAGTCACGATAAAGAGTCGCGCGTGTAATTCAGATTTGATCGTATAATGGGAACCTGAACTTATTATACCTCGTCTAAGGATCTCGTTAACCGCAGATTCGTATCTCGGTATAGTTAAATCAATTTTTTCTGCCACGAACTACACGCTTGATAAATTAGTTAAATGATAAAATCTCTCAACGGCATATTTAAGAAAAATAATTTCTACCGTTTTTCCTAGGTCTAACGAACGGTCGGCCATTTTGATTCGTAGAACAGAATCATGACGAAACTATGACCAGAATGCTGCAGAAACTGTATCTCAGAATGCTGCGATTGAAGCTTTTGATACTTAAAAATTTACATGTCTTATTTCATATTTATTTAATGACAATATTAAGCATAGCGAATCGAGTTTAGTATAGAAATTTTATAGGTTATAATACAGACGCTCGAGTGCGAATCTTGAGGCGGAATGTACTTACAAAAAGTTGTAGGTAATTAATAAAGTTATTTGCGATCTGAAGGTTTTCACGATCTTATGATCTCACGTGTATCAATTTAAAGTGAAGTGCAGAGTCTGTCTTCATGCCTGTCTCTCTGCAGGTAAGTAAAGTATAATGTGTACCAACTCAGAGAAGTATACGGCGTATAACCACTGTAATAGTTTGCGAAAGAAAAAAATTCGTAGGATACATCCATGCGACAAGATGGATCGGCCCGGGCGTCTAGGTACATGAATGAAGAAGAAAGCCAATTTTTATGCTCTGTCGGGAACGTTGAGAAAGAATAGAGCAGCTTTTCGCTTCGGTATCATCGGCCGAACCCTGGAAGAGAGTGGGTATTGTCGTGGCAGCCTTGCCGATGACGTGGAGATGATGAATTTCTTGAGCGGCTGCAAAGTCACAAATTATTTCGTAAGCTCGCCGTATTATGGGAATATATGGTGTGAACGTAGCTACGGTGTGCTTTCGCGACGTAGACTGTCGGCAACTTCAGGAACTTCAATAGCGAGTACGCTGACTCGAGCAGTCTTTATTGGCAATATGTATGACTAAACTTAAATATTGGATTCGTGATGTTGGATGCTAATTTCAAATTGATTGGTCGATTTTAAATAATTTCGTAATCGTAATGGCGGATAGGAACGAACGAAAAAAAAGAAATGAACGTTAATCAAAACTAGATTGACATTCTTAAACGGTCGTTAAATGACGTATGACTTAATTTCACTGCAATGAAAAGAACATCTAGTAGTGTCATCACATTTTTTATATTACACGTGTCTCGCGATGGTTTTCAAACTGAATAAAGGAGCAAAAAAATGTATTATCTTTATCCTCAGTACACAGTACATGACGTCACACAAAACGTCAAGTAAAATGGATTTTTATTTAATATTGAAATTTAATATATTCATTCTCGGCCTTTTTTGCATAACTTTGATGTTTGTTTACAAAAAAATAACGAACAATAACCTAACCTTCAAAACAATCCCCATGACTTTATGTATTACCATCTCTGAGGCAAATGTCGAATCTCGCTTCGGAAAAAGGGTGGTTTTTTTTTCTGAAGATCGAAATTTCTATCCTTAAACCTTTGGAATCACTTTTTACGCGTACTATAAGACACAGGATTTTCAGCTAAGGTGAGAAAAATCATTTCCTTAGTCCCAGCAGCATTTTTCTTCAGTTAATACGAATTCAGTTAATACGAATACCAAAAGGAGGCATTAATACGAATGACGTCACTTTCATTACTGCTTTTTGATGTTGTATCAGGAACTAGAAGTATTCGAACTCATTTACAAAGCTTAAGGATGGCGCTTTAAAGTTACCCCACGGCGGGAAAAAAAATTAAAATTTGAATAGGTGCAGTCATTCATGAAATTTTTGGACCGAAAATTAATTTAATACGTTGGTCGTAAATCGGCCACATCGAGACCACTCCTTTATCATAGGACACGTGTTTACCGATGTGACATGAAACTCGAAAACTTAAAACTTTCGTATTATCGTCCGATACTAATTTTTTGGTTACTTTGAAAAGTATTTGATTTCTTTCTCACAATCATTGAGTATGAGTTAATAAATTTCTTAAAAAACTAACCGACTCTAGTTGTACGAAATCACGTCGAACCATCCTCCAAAGGTAAAACATATTTAAAAAAGTTTCCCTTTCGCAAAATGCCATGGTTTGAAAAAAAAAACGATATGATTTAATTAAAACGTATGAAACCCTTGGGACTGCGCATTAAAAAATATACACTTTAGAGTGCAAACAGCATGAAGTAATCTTCATAATAAAAAGTTAAAAAATGGCGAAGACAAAAAAGGTTATAACTACATGATTAAAGAGCGTCACCCGGTATAAAAGGTATGAAAGGTAATATCGCGTATATATACAACCAGCGAAAGAGGGATAAGGATGAGGTGTAAGGAGAAGGTTATGGAACCATATACACATATACCTATGGAGTAGGTGGAGAAGGTTGCCACTGGGTGTGTGAAGGTGGTACCGATATTATGAGTATACGATAAGTGTCAACTGCAGCATGGGAGATAAAAGGAATGAAAATAGAATCTAGAAGCGATCCATCATCCAGCGGGCAACACGGTGGCGCAGGTCTGCGTCCGATTGGTAGGTAACGCCCATAGAGACACACGTGACCGTATGGCACCGCCTCGGTGTTACTGCCTCCGGGGGCCGCGGACGTGTCAGCTAACTTCCCGTCCCCCAGATCCCACGAGGCTGAGGCAACGCCGACCTCACCGTACCTCGCGCACCACTCACGCACGGCCTAGACGGCACGAGAGATATTTACAGGGAGCGACGAGGAGGGAGCAACGGAAAGAGAGAGAGAGAGAAGGAGAGAGCACCAGAACGCGACAGCGTGCGCGTGAGGGAAACAGAGAGACAAACAGAACGAGCAAGAGAGTGCCAGCCAACTAAGGACGCCAGAGCAGCGTCAGGTCAGTCTCACCTGCGTGCAGCTTTGCCTGGCCGCTCGCCTCTACTGGCGCGGCCACACTGCAGTCCACTCCGGGAACCCTCCTCGAAAGGACCGTTGTGCTTGAACCGGGTTCACTCTTGGGAGTATCGATAGATCGATGAATCCAGTTTCGCGAGTCACGAGTACGAGCTGGGATATTGTTGCGAGAGACAATTTGACGTGGCTGGTGTGCCGATGTTTAAACGAGGGTGAAAGCGTGCAGTGAGGTCGTAAGCTTTAGGTGCTGACTTACGAAGAGAGTTTTTCTAATTGGTGTAAGAAAAAGGAAAGAGGAAAACTGGGTACCACTTCATAGCCAAGGCGAGTGCCTTGGTCGGTAAAAGTACGCGTGTGATTATAACTGTGTGTATGGGGTAGATGATACGTATTGTTGTGAAAGCACAATAGCTGGTTACACCCTGAGACGTTGCCGGTGCTTCGATTAATGTTTCTGTACTGCAAGGATGATGATGATGGACATGGGCATGTACGGGACCTACGGCAAGCCTGATTCCTATCCAAATTATAGCTTTGTAGGCCAGGGTGGTAGTCAGCCACCAGCTGGACACGTGTCCGTACCTCCATCCCCTGAGCTTGCACCTACTCACTATTACCCACAGACAGCGGTAGCGCCCTATTCCTCCTCCTCGGAGAACTTCCTCGCGTCTGACTCCGGACCGTCCAGCACACCACCTCAGAGCTTTTACTCGCCGACGGGTGCCGTTCTCCACGAAGACGGTACCGCGATCATTTCTTCTGAAAACGGTTTGAGCTACACGAATCTTGATTATGCCTCGTATCCGACGCAACACGCCGGTTGCCACACCCCTACAGATCCACACCAGGGCTACCATCACCAGGTCCAAGGTAACTACCGGGAAGATCCGTCGGCCCTTGGACATCCGACTGGGAGTGTCGTACAACCGAATCATCCCCATAGCGAACACGAGCAGCTACACCATCAACAACAACAACCCCAATCTAGTCATCACGAGGTCGACTATCAGATCACCCTTGGAGGAACCTCGAACTACCTCCATCATCAGCTACCCGAAGAACCAATCCATTACGGGCAACCCGCTCTTCGGCAAACTGAATTCCTTGGACATCCTGCCAGTGGCCATTACAAGGAGGAAAGTCCTGACGTGGCGGCCTATCATGCTCTACAACAGACCGCTCATTCTTTACATCCCCATGCACACTCACCGCATCCGCACCATCATCAGCATCCCCATGGACACGCGCATCCTCAACAGCAACAGCAGCATCAGCAACAGCAACAACAGCAAGCTCAGGTTCCCACCTACAAATGGATGCAAGTCAAGAGGAACGTGCCCAAGCCAGTCGGTACGTCTTTTATTACCTTTAAGGTGTATTCGATATAACTCTCCGTATCGTGTTCACCTTGTTTTACGCCTATCCTCTAGACAACGAGCGTGAAATTACTTATTCTCTGGGCGCGATCCAGACGCCCCTCGTTAACGCTTAAACGGTTTCGTTCTCATCGCCCTGAAGTTGCAGAATCATTCTGTGAGGAGCCAGCATCATTTTCTCGAGTATCCGTTTCTTTTCACCTTCGGTATAACCTCCGTGCGATTGAGTATTACTGAAAAAATTACGTTGGCCTTAATGCACTGACGTAGGAAAAATACAGTGTCTACTGGTACAAAGTAATTTGATGTTAAACTTTTTATACAACGTTACTTCCAACATTTTCGTTATAACCTGTAATATGACTTTGATGATTTTCTGATGAATCACATCGTTGTTTTTTTCTTAATACTCACCTAAAGCTTTTTACTGATCGGTCTCTATGGACCGAGACTCTTGAAGAATTTTTCCGTATGGATATGAATTAGTTTTATTTACTTTTATTAAGGAGTTCAGGAGGTTGTACTCTTCGTTTAAATTTCTTTTATTGAGATTGACAGGAAATTTTCAATCTGTCATTCAGTGGCAGTCGATCTAGTGATCTCAGAATTGCTGGATGTGTAACACGATTAATAATACTCGATGACTATCCTTATATACTGGGGAACATGTATAGAGTTCTGTACTTGTATTATACCTAATTGATATTTAACCAGTGACTGTCGCTTTGAGACGTACCTCATTAATTTTACTAGGAGACTGATGGTTCCTGCCATTCGTGACTTTGCTTAGGTCCCAATACATACGCCCTGGGGCAAACTATTTAAAATATCGTCATAACGGGCTATTAACGGACACGAGTTGATTATTCTCATTAATAACGAGATCGTCATTATTATAGGTAGCCATCTATATTAATAAAAAAACATGCACTACACTTTCCTCGTAAAAAACTCCAAATCCGACTCTCGTGAAATTCACACGGAACACAAAAATAATACCATTGATCGTTAAACGCCAATTTTTAATGTATACACAATTATTGGGTATCGATTTTTCTTAATAAAAAACATAAAATTTCCTTTAACCAAAATCCTGAACGTTTCTGAGGTGCACGTATGGCCCTTCAAAATGCAACTGATGCGCAGGAAGGGAACGCAGGCAAAGCGATAAAGTCGTCCGCACAAACAAAAAAGAAGATACTGTCGTTTACACAGAAGCTGCTGGTTTGCGGCCATAAATCAAACGTGACAACCGCTTGCCAACTCTCTATCTGCCGAATGCAAATGTTACAATCTCTTTCTCGCGTTTCTGACCAGGAGCCAGTGAGTTTGCGTACCCAACCAGCCGTCGCGACGCGATACCGTATGATGGCTCTCGTTCCGCTCGAACGCTGTAAAATAGTTCCTGAATTTCACACCGCACTCGGAATCACGCTCTGCTGTCAAATCGACAAGATCGTAACACGCGCGTTCGAACTGCTGTTCAATTAACCAAGTTAAATAGAGGCACTGCTGCAAGTATCTTGATAAATGCTAGTGCACGTTAATTAACCGTCGAATATCAGCGTAGACTCGTGAGAAAGTAAGGCGTAAGGAGCATGTGTAAATTTGAGGTTACGACGTTTGTGAGTTTCCTGTGAGTTTTACGTTAGTCTATCGCAGTGTGACATGGGAACCTCAAATGGGATTATTGGTTAACACTTTATACACGATCATAACGATTGTAAGGAATACATAAGTTTTGATTTTCGTAATATACAAATTATTACTGAGTGACAAACGAGTGACGTGTATGGCAGTTTGAACAAATGTTGCTTTATAACAAAGCGTTGCGTCTACATCTGCAGCACACAAACGTACTCGGGTATGGTTATTGCACTTGGTAAAATTCTTGTCTATTAGCAATCTTATGTTTTATGCACGTTATTCATTCACAGAATTATGGTGCATGACGGTTATGAAATCAATAAGTTTATCACCGCTTTCCATGTCGTTCCACATATGTTTCCATCGGCATCCATGACTATGCCTATGCGCCGTAGATTGCAGTGAGAGAATTGTAGACTGTCAAACGTTGGCCATCGTAAATCTTTATAAGAAGATATTTATATGCAGGTAATTAGATGGTTCAGCCACGAAGGTTAGATACGGCCGATTGAGCCGTGTACGTGTGTAATTGTTGTATCAAAGTTACCACTTAAAATTGTATATCAGTGATTACAATTATTGTACCTTATTTATTGCTGATACCGCACGAGCCTTGAATATCTTCAAGTGCAAACTATAATTATTCTACGTCGCTGTAAATGCTAGTTGATACTGAAGAATAGATAACAATTTTTAAGTAGTTACCAGCACAAAAGTCTCTTATTTTGAAAAAAAAAATCATTACTTTATCTAACTCTTTATCGTCGGAATAAAATAGTAATACATAGTGCAAGTGTGTATCATCCACGAAGCGATAAAGAATTTTTTAAAGAAACGGTACTAAAACCGACTATTGAGTCATATTAGATACTAAATAGTTTCTATATAATATACATGTTTTCTTCTATCTTCAGCGAGACAAAAGGTGACAGCCCACTGGCGCCAGCCTATCAAATCTCGCGGAGGACGATACAGCCAAATGTGTTAAATCAATTAAAATGTTAACGCAGCCAGTCAACCTCGGCTTATCTTGACAGTGTTCGCTGGGTCCGAGGCTCATTCTGAACGCAGTGTATCTTTCATGTTAGGAAGAAAAAGAAAATATCGAAACTTCTTCCGTCGATCGGCTCTCGACGATCTCGAGTACGAAACTGTTAAACGATTCCTAACAGGCCTCATATCAGTTTTGAAGTGGTTCGGTCGTCCATTCTCGCGATAACATACATAACCGCGCATTAACCCAAGAGCAATAAGTACTTCAGATTGAATGTATAAATTTAATGACACCGTTCGATCATCCATATTTCGCGCAAGTGCTATACTTCGAAATACGGCATAACCTTAAAAATATGTACAATTAATCAAAATACATAATGCAGATTAAACGAGCACATTTTTCTTCCACGTAAAATACATTGACCTTGACAGGTTATGGCTACTCGTGATTTGAACGATGACATTGATAAACTCTTTAGCATCGACCAATTAAATTCATAATGCTATAAAGTTACCAGCAAAGCGAACTGAGCTGCTGAATGAACCCTGTCAAGGATTACGCGCGTTTCATTTAATAGCTCATTATAATTGCATTAATGAAAACGACCCGACAGTCGAGGGTGAGACCGCGACACTCATTGCAGTAGAACATGCGAACTAACTTAAGCCTAAAGCCACCCTTGATTATCCACCAACCCCTTTTGCTCACTAGCTTTTTGCTCTTGGAGGTTGGTATCGCTATGGATTTAATAATTGCTCATTATTTACAGCTCGTCAACTTGTTGCCTCGTCCAAACCGGCATGATCTTTAACACACGAGCGAATGACATACGGTATGACGTAATTTATTAGGCCCAAAAGAAATCATTGAAAAACTTCTAATCGTCTAATTTCAATATCCAATATATGTCCGATTCAATTATTATCTAACAGTAGCAGGCATATATCATTCAAATTATATCATGATTCTTTTTACACAGTATATATACTTAAACTCGTATACCATGGTGGTCGCGGTCGATCAATCTTTATCTGCGCATCGATTACCATTTTATCCGTGTTAGTTTATCGGTGGAAAATCATAATTTTTCAATCGCAATTCAACAAGTCAAACTGGTACCAATATATCTGAGGACTCAATCGTAAAATTGTCTAGTGTATGCATATGCGCTTATGCAGATAAGGGAACAGACTCAAGTACACCGTAATAATGTAACGCGCTTTGTGCCTGCATCACACGTGAGAGTAACCCTATGGGCGGGGCATACAAGGGTGGAGAATTTTTCGCAAAGGTTTGGTTGGATGGATGGCACAATAGCTACCGTTCCATGTTTCCCCGGCATCTGAGCCAGTAAGAAGGACGCGTCGAGGTCCAGAGGCCTTTATAGGGTGCGTCGTCCATTCCCCCCTTCATCGACGCTTAGCGTCCCAGACCCTGTCAGCTGGCCAGTCTCCGATCTATCATACCGAACTTGATTTCGTCCTCCAGCAGTCCTCAATAGCTAGATTGGCAATATAAAGGCTGTCCCGATAGGAAAAGTCTCGATTATCCTTATTATACACGAGTAAAGAATCCAAGGTCGGTTGACAATGAAAAGTAATTTTCTGATTTGATTGTACGTATACGCGGGAAATTTGAAAAAGGAATCGATGCAACTACTTCAGGGTCCTGTACCATGGACTTCGTATCTAAACGTTTATTAAGGCTGGTTTACGATGCTGTATAGGATTGGTATACGAGTACTAGTGTTCCTCAAACTCGCTGGCCATGTTTGTACCGTTTCAGGCAATTTTATGGCATGTTTCGTGTTATTTACGAATAGAATAAGCAAGTTGCTTGATTGCTCTTATACGAGTCTAACCAATCCCATTACCTTCGGCAGTGCTTTCGTATACCCAGGCTTTACGACGTCATGCCACCGGCAATGCCTATCGAAAAAAAAAGAAACCACGGCCTTCCAGATTTCATTTATTTTCATGGAATTCCAATCCCGTCGCTTTTGCACGAAGGCTTTTCGTGTTACGTGGATGACACGAGAGCTTATACCGATCCTTTCTTATGTTAAAGTGAAAGAAGGAGTTACCAAATAAAATGGTGTTTCCAGTACTGTAAACTTTATCTGACGTTATAACGATAGTAAACATATTAGAATTGTATACCTAGCAGATAATTGATATAGCCCACTTGTGAAGCCTTGTTAAATTGTTATTTTGTCCGTTTTCTATGACAACCACGCCCGTGCAGTCTAACCTCGAAAATTGGATGGATCCTCGTGTTCGTTTGACAGGTTTATAACGAGAGGAGGGAAGAGGAAGAAATAACGAGAGAGAAAAAAGACTTGGGACCGAACGCTGTAAAGTCTCGTAATCGGGAGCATGGAATCTGGTAACATCTTTTCCTACGTCTTTATTGATCGAAAAGTCCCAAGAACGTTTCACGACAGTGAATATTTTATACAGACTCTCGTATTTGACACGAAGCGCTGCCCTTGTTTCTCGAAGACTATCGCCTTTTAGGCTGACTTAAAATATGCATATTGTTATCGACGTCGCTGACCAAACGTGGCCAGGGGCGGCACTCGAACGGCAGTCAGAGGGTGAAAACCTTTCTTCGAGTCCTTATCCGAGTTTCACCTACCTCCGGGTACCTTATCGAATTTCAAGTTAAACTTTGCCATCTAAATTCACACGAACCGGCAAGGGCGTAACGGGCGTGTTCCAGATAACTGAATTACAGCGTTGCAACGTAATAAAACAAAATCACAAGTCCGATTCAGCGATAGCAATCAGTACCTATACCCACTACACAACGCAGACACCAGGAATATCAGCCTTATTAAACAATTTAGTAATATTATTTTGTTAATTATCAAATCCAAAAGTTAAGCAATTAAAGTCAAATATAATAAACTTAATACAATTAACAGATATTAAAAATTAAAATGAGATATATGAACCTGATCAGGTATCAATAATCTGAGGTTGCAGCTGCATTCACACAGAACTACAGGATCTCCTCCACAAAGGTTTCCAAAGGTATCTATAGGTACCTTAAATGTACCAACTTGTCTGTTCCTACTGCACGTGTTACTGACATAAGCGGATAGGCAGATAACGACTGGTCGTATTTGCCACACGCAATGCAAAGTAAAAGTCCGGAAGAAGTCGAGCACAGTTTTTGCTACGTATAAAATAATATTTTATCAGCCACCTATCATAAGGAACGGGTAGCCAGTACGTTCGATCCGTCCCTGAACTTGGGAACGTACGAACGAACAAGGAGTTGGGAAGGCAACTGGCTGGGCATGTTGCGTTGCGAGGGCCAGCGGACGCGTGAGTGAGCGGCCGATATCTCGCGAGGGGATCAGAGGATCGTTCGCGTGTTTCTACCACGCCACCCGCCAGAACTACCCCCGGATCCTGGTCCCGCAACACCGACAACCCCTGCCAACCATCGAACACCCTTAAAGCCCTCGACCTCAGGCCCCTTGAACCTACCAGCTAGTCCCGTTATAAATGTACCTCCTTGTCCACGTGTCTCGCGCACGGTGATTTTCATTTCCGCGGCACTTCAACGTTGTAACCTTAACTCAATACGTTTCAAGAGTCGTAACTTTCGAAATTACAGGTACCTAGTTTACTAAGGGGTCAAGAAAGTTGGTTACGTTAAATTTCTATTCGATTAAAAAATCATAGTATTCACCTCTACTGGATAACTTTTATATCCCATTTATTTAACTTTCACTCTACTATATTTATGAACGTCGTACTCCATTTATTAAGCTAATTTTCGACGCTTATCTAGTATAAAAAAAAATAATCCAACTACTTCCTATACAGTTCATTACAAAGCTTATTAGGAACTCGTGAAAGAGGTAATTCGTGACAGATACAAACAGCCTGCACGCGTATAAAGGAAGCGTGCGCGCGCCCCTGCTTACAAGTGATATGACGTGACCATTTCGTTTCCTCTTATGCATTGCTATATGACTCAGGATATTACCTATCATAATACCAAAGGTGGAAGAACGCCTGAGTGGCACCTGACAGGGGTAGATATACAGAGCAGTGTCAAAGGGGTTTACAAATGAATATTAACCTGCGATAAAAAATATTCCTATACCACCTTCGATATAACCGTTCGAAACAAAATATTAGATTCGTTTTAAAAATTTTTTCTTATTCAAAAAATATCGTACAGACTCGAATCTATAAGCCGTCCAAATGACGGTGCACCGATTGAACAGTCATATGGGGCAATAATATTGACCGTATTAACGTAACCGGCACAGGTTTATGAGCGCCATTAAAAGTGTTGATATTCCTCCGTGCATGGTGTAGCGCAAGCAAATGAACGTAACAGCATGGTGCTCGAATAAAACCTATATACTACGTACGTATGTAGCTATACGTATAATATAAAGTGAGTGCCTAACCACGTACCAAGCTATGCATGCCAGTTCACCTTCGTCCAAAGGCCTCCGATTAAAATCTCACCTGGCTTAATATTACTATTTTATATTCTCGACTCTATAACTTCGCCTCGAGTAGCTCGATTCCTTGGTGCGCTGTCAATTGGTTGATCTGCGAATATTAAAGAAAAAAGATTGAAAACGTCTGATAAGAAGACCGACGTGAGTAGGTACCATATGGAGTATTGAGAAAAATAAAACAACATAGATATCGTATATAGGGTATGTTCTTACTATGGGAAATAGTTCAGGTTGAGAACGACTGTCACGTATCAACCGCATTGCTCGATATCTTCTTGTTTCCACGTAACAGGTGTTTTTAATATTTTTTAACAACTTGTCAATATTTCTCACGTTTCGATTAACATGCGTGATCGAGCATTCATAAAATCTCTTACTTATACCAGTGTCTGATTTATATGCACTGATTTAACCGTCAGACTTTCATTAGTGGGACGGATGAGTCGATTTGTCTATAGGGCAATAAGAAAATTGTAATTATTTTGGTAATTTAAAAAATTTGATTGAAAACTGGAAATTGAGGTAAAGAGGCATCCTGGTGGGATATAACTTATTTGAGAGTACTTACCCCCATTTTCAAAGACTACCACGTGATGCACGACCCCTTCTTGTTCACTGGGAAGCCAATCCGGTGAGCACACAGGATCATCTGCTTTATGCGGCAACAACCTCCCTCGTTGGCACATTATGCAATTCAAATATTATTCAAAGGCTAAAAGCCAGGAGGCCCTGCAGATGATGTAAGCTAAGGAGGGGTGCCAAAATGGGGAGAGAATTTGAGCTACTCTACAGTATAGTGTTACCGGGAGAGCAGACCTCGATACGGGCACTTACCTACCCTGCTAGTCTGAACACCGGGGGTTCCCCCAGTTGGATCACTTCAACGTAAAGGCTTTCCGGTTAGTGGATGCGCGCGTCACCCTTTTTCTGCATCGGTCCTTCCGCCAATGTTCTACCGGTGACACTGAATTCGCCACAATATATTTTTCAAAAAGTATACAAGTATTTCTCTTGACACCAAAAACGCAGCATCACAGACGCACGAACTGTATGAATTTTGTAAATTTCAAAAATTTTATTATTTCCAAAAAAATTTCAAACAATCACTTGACAGTGGAAACGTATTTTTTATTGATTTAAAAAGAAAAATTGTAGTCATCAAAATCGGTCGCGAGTAATAAAATGAAAAAGAAAATGAGGGAACGGTTCAACCAGCTGTATTTGAGCGATATCAAATTTCGAATTCTGATTATACGCAACGACGCCATCATTCTCCATTGTGTGTATAAATATTTGAAACGTATACGAGTCACGATTACATATTTATGAGGTAGGAACGGTGAGCAGTCGTTAATCTCATAAAACGTATCGTACAGGAGTATATCTATCTATAGGGAATTTTATAAAAATTTAGAAAATCAATTTTATAATTTTTTGGGAATTTTCATAAAATTCAAAATAATATCCGTCCATCACTATTTACTGGTATTACATACCGTTACGCTCGTTTCGTGTTAAATTCATGACTGGATTATGGTGGTAATCCATGATTGCGGCGGCGCACCCCCACGCGAACGCATAAAAGCTCATTGTGACAATATAATCACAGTGGAGAAGAGGGTTACTCGAGGGAGTCATACGTTAGGTACCATCGGCTAGGCAGCGCTAACTACAGGGTTAGCTGCGCAAGGGTAATTAGTGGTGTCAACGCCTCTCTTGACTCAGCAGTATCGAGGTCTCACCTTGTGGTCCTCTAGCTGTTACGCCCTCGCTATGATCCATTTTCCGTTAGTCTGACCCGACAAATTATAACTGATATTATTAACCCTATTTTGCATTCCGACAGATTCGCTTAATGGGTTGTATCGCTATAGTATCGCCACTTATAATTTTTTGGGCGATTCTCATAAATATCCAATTATATATAATTCCTGAGTTGGATAAATTTGCATGATGTAAATATGAATAGAAAGAAATTTTCTAAAATGATAAAAATTATTATTTAACATGAGGAATAGTGTATGCGCATCTGTAGGTGTGCTGGATTCGATTTTTATGTCTGATATAAGGTTACAGTTTTTTTTGTGAAATTTTAAGCTACGTAATTAAATCTTTATTGGTCAATTGTTGATTAGATATAAAATAATTTTAGAAAATAATTTTTTATCAAATATAAATTGGTTACTCGATTTTGAATCTCTTAAGTCACTCAAGTTTCACGATTTAGATTATACATGTAAGTCCAACTTAAATGGTAATGTACGTATAAATAGTATTTTCGGGCATAAATTATATAATTTTTTAATCAATTACTGCATTAGAATCTCACTTGACGCTGTCATGATTTTTTCTAAAACATGTTTGTGGGTATTTGCAACTAATATACGTATGATAGGTAATCTAATGCATGTTTAATACGAGAATGTGGTAAATACACGCGTAATTATGGTTAGATATACCTAGGCAATTCTATTGATACTATACTAATTTTAATTTTTACTCACTGATAGTGACTTTAATGAGTGTGAATATCGCTGCAAGAATGACGTGAAGAATTGAAAAATTAATTAAACACCTGAAATTTCAATTCTCTCTACATACGAACGAAGACCTGAGACTTCTGGAAATGTCACTGTTTATTTTTTATATGTATATTAAATAACAAAGAAGTTGGTTCTGCCATAGGAACCAAAGTGCAAAAGCTAACTTCAACGCTGAAACTGAATAACTCAGGGTTCAGCTGGTTCGTTTGAGCTGAACAAATGTATATACAATTTTATAGATATGAAAAATATTTTTCAGCATGCCAATATTACTGTAATATTTGCAAAACTTATTCCGCTCTATAAACTATGATAAAAAGATAGTACAGTTGTTAGGAAACTGAAAGTTGATGGTATACAGGCTCAGTCACTTATCCAATGCAGAATCCCAAACTTGAGCCATTAAGCTCACGCTTTTCCCACCGTATAATAAAGTTGGACAAGTTCTATTAAGCCTAGTGCCGAGACGGAATGAAATGGCTTTCGTTTTCGCGACTCATTCATCAATTTAGAAGCTAACGGAAGGACCGCAGAAGATCTGGTGATTTCAGTGCTCCTGGTCTATTATATCGTTAAGTTATTATACGTCCTAAAGCATATACATCACATATGTATATCTATTAGTCTAACACAGTACTAGGTATTAGAATTAAATGATCTCATATAATTAATCGAAAAGGTGAAAATAGTCTCTATATAAATAATTGAAAATAGATCTCCCTCGTATTCCACTATTTGCTAATTTTCCAAATGCTTTCATTCTTACATTCTATGAAAGAGACTGTATAAACGAATGTCCATAGGCCGAGCTCCACACGACACCCAAAGATTAGGTAATGAGCCACAAGACGGATCATCCTGTTCCCATGCTATCCTACCACCCTAATTCGCCCTTCATCCTCCAAATCACCTACCTACCTGCCTACCTATCAAGCTCTTACCTAACCTACCGACACAGACACATTTCTCCTGGCTGCGCACTTCGGCGAAATGAAATAAAATAAAATAAATAAAACAAGAATACAGGTGCTCCTACATCATAAATAAGACATGTACCTTCCAATCGGTATACGCAAAATTTCATATATAATGGTGTGTTAAGGTACTGACAGACGCCGATGGCTCAGGGTGGTTTTCTAATTTGGCGAAAATAGTCCACGGTGTTGATCCTTAAAGCTTCCTTAAGGACTGTGGCGAAAATGTCATGGACACGCCCTCGAGTCTTTCGAGTAAACGTAAACCGCACGAGACACAGGGTGGAGACAATAGGCTACGCATACATTATCAGAAAAGATGTGATGCTAAGGCGTTGGCTCGCTACTTTCGTTCACCCTCTTCCATTACGCAAATTGACAACGGCAGTGGTGCAGTCTAAATAACCGACTAATTTTCATAATGTATAATCCAAAGAGACTTTTTACAAGAGACCCGGACTTAGCCTAAACTAATTACAAGGAGCGACAGTCCTGGAGTTACAAAGTGCCACGGGCCAATGATGAGATTGCTCCGAGGACGTAGATCCGTTCAAAGTCTCACACGTTTGGTTTCCCCGCGAAACAAAAAATAATGGGATTATCGTGTCGAAGTCCAGGACGTGGATTTCGCTTGGAAACTTAAATCTTATCTTCAGGATGGTCAGACAGCGTGAAACGGACTGTGACCTCAGAGCCAAAATTACTATTATGACGAAATAACTAAAATTAACACAATTAATTGTTACACTCGCTCGATACAATATTTAACGATTGCTACCCTTTGACCCTTTCATACAAACTTGAATCGTCCCCAAACTGTACAGCCTTCTATACTGACCATCTGCTATGGACACAAGAAACCTATCACTTGACTGATTTAATCCTTACGATATTACCCACGTCAATATCCCATAGATCCTCCCTAATAGTAAAAGTTTCCACGTATAATCCCCTTGGTTAAATCTTTCCTATTAATTAAAGTGAATCCCTTTCCATGTTACAGCGCCGAAAACAAATCCAACGGGGGGCGAGTTCGGTGGCAGCACAGTGGGCGGTTCGGGTGCATCCGTTTACGCGTCCTCAGCATCCGGGCCGGTGAGTTGCCTGAGCGGTAGCTCCTTGAGTGGAATCCCTGGTGGCTTCAACAATACCGGCCGCACAAACTTCACAAACAAGCAGCTCACCGAGCTCGAGAAGGAGTTCCACTTCAACAAGTACCTGACGCGAGCCCGACGCATCGAGATAGCTTCCGCCCTGCAGCTCAATGAGACGCAGGTGAAGATCTGGTTCCAGAATAGACGGATGAAGCAGAAGAAGAGGATGAAGGAAGGGCTGATACCTGCGGACGGTACAAGCACAAGTCAGTTGAGCGGGGCGAGAAGCAGTAGTAACTCACCGACCGGTTCGAACCTCGAAGTGGGCGGTCTTGCCCTGGCCAACTTCACCAGCGACAACAGCCGTGAATCCCCGCCTTCGTCCGCCAAGGAATGACGTGATTTCAATTCGACGGAAACTCGCCGAATCTGCAACAGTTTCTGCGGCATCCGTGCGCCACGCGCCTGAGGCGCTGGACGTGGCGGCGGCGGTCGCTGTAACTAGAAAAACTTCATCAGTCAACATTGTTATGCTCTTCCGTCTCGACGAAGGACACGTGCTTTTCGCCGAAGCGCCCACCGAATAAAGAAAAAAAATCATCGGCGAAAGTATTACCATCCAATTTTCATGTAGCGACACTCGGAGGGATCTCGACGTCTTCTCCAGGTGCGCGATGCTGTTCCCATGAGAAAACACGATGGATCCGTTTTCTTCGTGTACCTATGCTACGGTACACATGTCCACGTTCTGATCTGTCTTCCCTGTCACGACTTCACTGTCATCCACTAAATCGCATTGACAATCGACACGATCGTCATCCTGTCGTATCTCTAGAAACCGCCCAACAGCGTCGAGTAACTGTTCAGGATTCAGGATTCAATTAATTCTCCTGTAAGTTACTATACGTATATAAAATGGTGGTGAGTCCAGTACCCTATGCAGGGTCTGTAGTTCTCAACGAGCTACAGCGACGACCAATTTCATTCCTATCGGAATCGCAACGATCCTTAGAGAAATTTAATTAAAATGGACAGTCGAGTTTATCGTCAGTTGTGATTAATCGAAACGGAAGTGAATGACCCAATCCTCACAGTAGCTCAAAACCAAAAGTTACCAATACCTCTTAATTCGTACGAGTGATATAATGAATATAACTAATTTATAAACGCCAATGACGCGCGTCATTAAAATCATCGGCGCGCTTCGATTCAATCAGCCAAAATTCGATTTTAACGATGAACTTTGCCCGTGTCGATCGCGTTATTGCGTCTTGTCCCATTTTAATCGGACGATATAGCATATCGTTAATTATTTAAATATGGCATGGAACTGTCACACGACGCTAAATAATATTTCGACTCATTGACATCAAGCGGATTCCCGTTTTGACCATTTTCACGATATACCGAATACGAAAACTTTCGGTATCGTGATATTCGTCGGAATTTTGTGAATTAATCACGATTTTCCTGACTGTCGCGAAATTTCGCGAATAGTCTCCAATAACAATCCTGTTGTAATAGAGCGATAGCAGCAAACATGTCCCACGGGATATTTCGTGTATGCACAATGTAAATAGAATCCTATGCAAATCTCGATGGTGATAAATACATCCGAAAATGTTCTTATTGTTATTCCAAAAATATATATATATATAAACGACGTGTGATATATATAGAAAAACGGGGCGGTCGGTAATACATTTATTTAACATTAAATATTATTTTGTGGCGAGACGATTTGACTCCTCGTTAGAGTCAATGCACAATGTATTTGTGAAAACAGTTGAGATTTGCATGGGCTTCGTGTAAGTGAAACTTGATAATTTAAGTAATAGTGACATAGACACCTCGTAGTCATGGGTTATTGTGATCCACGCAAGGCTCTGTACCTAAAAATTCCTATTATTATAAATTATAATTAGTCGATAATATCATGTAGGAAGCTGTAGAAAGAATAAAATATTATTGTATTAAATCCATGGATCAGAGTATTATACATTGAGCCTTCGATATCCATAGAAAACATATGAACGGGCATTAATGTAGGTGAGTGGTACAAAAATAACTTTCATTAGATAAAACTTCACAAACCTTCCTGTCGCTAAATTTCATTAAAAGAAAAAAAAAATGTTGAACAAGGTAACCCATTTTTTTTTTTACAACAGAGCATGTATTTCGTATAATTTCTTTACATCAGCCAACTACCATTTTTTGTGTACAAAGCTTTCCATCCATAAAACGATACATTGATTGGTGGTTTTCCGGTTAGTAAAGCTACCATACATACCAGTGCGACTAGGCACTGTTCCACAAAACACCCTTTAATCGTAACATCAGCTTACTGTCTATTTTCTAGCCTTTCCATGACACCAAGACCTGCTCGCGGCTGTCGCCAATAAAACGTATTCTCACGCGCGGCAACAGCCATTCGCAACGTCTGCGCTATAATCGGTTCGCGATAAATCGCCGAATAAATAGAGCCCCGCTAAAACGGCCGTATCAAAAATAGAGAGCAAACGACTAACAGTTGTAATTGCCTTTGCAGTTACTTCACGGTGAACTATACGCGTAAAGGCGAAAATATTTAAGGAACAATATTTTGGATACAACGTATAGTCACACTTATAGAACGCATCTTTGGTGACACTACAATTTGGTATTCTTGCATGTAAAAGGTACAGATTTCACGATCCTAAATATATGCATATAGTATAACGACTGTATAAATAGTGCTTTATACATTACACATCACAATTAAATATTTGGGAAAATTCGTTCGTGCTAGAAACAACAAGAAAAATGAAGACAGATAAAGAGAGAGAGAGAGAGAGAGAGAGAGAGAGAGAGAGAGAGAGAGGTAAGATAGAGCAAAACAAAGTTTATCGTCCAAATTGCAATTGCCTTTATAGATAGCCATGATATAACAGCCATTTTTTCGTGTAGTCGCGAAGAACGCAAGAGAATCGACGTTTCCTTTTATTTTATTCATTTTTTTTTCTTTTTTTCTTTGTAATCGTCAAAGACGTCAGGAGCATTTTTTTTATGACAAGGATAAAGTAACATTTGTCACGAGTACGAGTGAGACACGTGCTTACACGCGAGTTGTGCGTAAATTTGAATACAATTATTTTACGTTTTAAATTATTAGGGTAACGATCCTAATGTCATATACTGACAGTCGACGAAGTACGTAAGACATAAAGAGCGCAATTACACGGCTGTTACAACACAACCAATATAAAGCTGTTACACGGAATATCATAGGACGATATATGAGATACGTTTTGAAAATCAATGCAAGACTATCAATAATGATCACCTTTCAGCACATCAGGAGCTTTTTCTTACATTCGTACGTCAGTTAATATTGAATTAACTATACATTCACACTGGTATAGAACGTTACGCCCGAAACAAAAAAAAAAAAGAATTCAAATGACACTAGTCTTCTGCTTGCTATGCTACATCACAATCAAAATCATTATTATGTTACAGCTTACGATATAGATCCTGCATACATTCGCTACGCTTCTACGGCGTTATATTCGTGAGAGATAATGACACGTTAGATAATAATTAACACAAGCACAAATAAATATAATTATATTACGAGTCATTTGTTAAATCGTATTATAAAGGTAAGATGAAATTCGACACTTTGGTGTTTCAGTACAAATGTAGAGGCGACAGCGTCGCGATGCGAATTCTCGTTAGAAGAAAATGCGACGTATCAAAATGGCGCGAGGGGAGAAAAGTAAAAATTACGTTTTCGCGTAAGTGTAAACCGTGGTGAATGGAGCGAAGATAAGATCTAGAGATAAATTACGTAAAACGAGAGAAGGTAGAGTAACGTGTGAGAAGCTGAGGTTGAGAAACAAAAAAAAAGAATAACGATAACAGCAATCGTGTGAGAGTTCGTTTCGTCAGTATCCATTTGCTCAGTCTTATGAGAACCTATATCTACTGCGTTGAAGATCGCTACGTGATTCGGCAGGACGTTACACAACAATTTGACAAATGCATATAACCATAAAAAAATAATTGACCTGTCTCGGGACACGTGTATCTACGTACGTATATCTGCTTACCGAAAGGTGAGAAGCTAGAGAATAAAATCCAAGAATCGTAATCATTGTAAATATAAATTATGAGGAATCCTCGAATAGAAGTGCTATCTCGATAAAAAGTTTGAAATTTGACACGTTTCATTAAAATCAAGTTAAAGTTATATGTTAAAAGAATTATCCGAAGTCGGACTGAAATCGAAAGATCGCAGCGCCTCTGTCGGTTAGTTTTCTCGTCACATTCCGCAATAACGTTCATGGCGTGTTAGGCACGCGTGAATATATCGTGAGCGTGATAACAAGAGAAATAAAGAAATAAAGAGAGGTAGAGAAAATAATAAGAAAGGCACTTTACCAATTGACTATTCTCGACGTAGCTACGACTGACAGAGTACAAAGTACAATCGTCTACGCGAGTGATTGTAGCGAGAAAAAAAGACAGACTACGACGTATTTCACGTGATAGGAGGAAAATCCTTTCCAAAATGGAAATCACTTTGGTAATGACTAGGTCTTACAATCCCTATTCTTATCATTTCATCCACGTATTGTGTATTATGGCGTATGATTGGCTTTAGCGGATTGTTTAGCTTTTCTTCTGCTACCGATAACATTAAAGGAGCATACCTAAGGAGACTAACTGTCGTTATTATTATGGCTGCGTACGTACTCCGAGCGCGTTATGTACGTTATTAGAACTGAATGCGATAATTGCTTGGTCGTGGTATTGACCTGGCCTTCGTCGGCGGTAGAGATGCCGTCGAAGCTTCGCTACTGGCCGTTCCACCGGAATCTCGTCCGCCGCTTTTACTACTGACTGTACTTCCAGTACTCTGTCCTCGGGATCCGCCCTGCTTTTGCAAGCTCCCTTTGGCATCGCCGTCGCTCAGTCGCCCGTACTCTCCGATGCGTCGCGACGGTGGTGGTATCAGCGAGCGACCCTGAGTCTCCCTGTGCTTGACGTCTCCGGCAGCGCTTCCTCCTTGCTGTTGTTTCTTTCGTTCCAATTCTCCAAGCCGCTCGTACTCCCCGCTATTGGTGCTGGTCTTCTTCAGGGAGTTACTCTGACCGGACGTGTCTGATCCCGATGACTTCTTTCGACGCTGCGCCTTCGTATCGAATCTACCGTACTCCAGGGTACAGTTGTCAGAGTCTCGTACCTTGATCGTTGCGTCTATCGCTGGACCAGGATCCGACTTCTTGCGGGCTTCCGTATCGCTCAGCCGACAGTAACGTGAATTCGTTGACTTGAGCGTCCTTGGTGGCCGCGGTAGAGAACTAGGAGGAAGACTTCCGGCCCTGCGTGGCTCGCCCTCTAGCATTCTCTGTCGCTGGGAGCTTCTACCTTGCTTCTCGAGTAACATCATGTCCTCCGGCTTACCGTCGGACAATCTAGACACCGTGCCTTTGAACCTTGATGCACTTGCAAACTCCAGCATCCCCCCAGAAGCCTCGCCCCCCGAGTCGTCCAGCAGACGACTCTTGCTGGAAGCTGTACTCGAGCTACCTGTGCTATCTACACCCGCCAATAGTGGCTTGGGTATTTTTCCTTTTCGCGACGCAGTGCCTGGATTAGAGAATCCTGGAAAACAGCAAAGTGCCCGCTGAAAAAAAAGAGAAGAACGCCTATGTTCGAGAGGAGGCCAGGACCTGGAAAAGGGGTTAGTGCACGCCACAACAACGCATGCGGCACTCTTTGGGATGTGCGGATTGGATCTTGAAAAGGTTGGGAATTAGTCGGTTCACTCGACGCAAGAATGGATTAATGATGTCAAATCAAATGCGTTATCTACTCTAATATATTTTTTTTTTTCAACGATTAACACAACATGGAATAGATGCAAGAAACAATCACACTGGGACGAGTATAAGGTTTGGTTGTAATATAATTTTTAAGAAAATTGACAAAAGAATTGTGCCTAAGACATTGTTTAGCAAATATGCACAACACATGTTCGATAAAGGCGAAATTTGTTTTTTAAGGGAACATTCGCCATATTGGTAGTAATTTCGATCTGGTGAATATTACTCTCTTTATGCCTAAGTTATGAAATAATATAAGTGTATCTTGGGCACGGTATTAAGAAATTAAAAGGCGCGTATTGCCGTATTAAATATATGTATGATACGGCCCATTAATATGAATGAATATTGTGAACTTCGTAGAAGATGAAATCTTTCAGTTAAATACTCTCCTAAAGTGCCCGAATGTCTGGACAAATTCGAATCTGGTTATTATGCAGCAGTAAAAACTAAAAAATATGTTATGAAAGTCCGTTAGGAAAATGTTAAGAGCAGTTAACTGTTCAACTGAGAAACTAAGGTTCCTATCGATTCGCCTAAAAAGCACAGGTCGATCTTGTTTTCTTTTTTAATATAATAAAATTAATAAAATTAATAACACGTTAACTACTCTCACGCCATATCCAGGTAAATTAAATGCAACACGAACGCAACAATACCTCATAGTGTGTGTGATCTGTAATATTTTCATGGGCTGCAACAGCTATTGCAGATGGTAGGAACAAAATATACGAACTAAGAAATAAAGTGTTGTTCCTCATAGTCTTGAATATTATCCATTCGTTTCAGATTCGTACATAGGGCACAATGATATGACGATAAACGCGAAACGAAAGATACGATATACATTTGAATGTAGAATAATATTTGAAGTGATTGTGAGAAATATAAATTAGAATTGGCGTTATCTGTAATAATACAGAACACTACACTGTGGAGATTCTGCCTACCTTGCTGAGTAGCTGGGAGTCTAGTTCTTTCAGTTGATCGTCCAAACTCTTGTTTGTTTGTTCGAAGCTTCCTTGTTTCCTATACTTGTAGCTGTCCGACACCCCATATGAACCTGTACTGCCATAGCCGCTGCCACTACCCAATACACTGCTTACTATTAACATTCAAATAAAAGAACATGATAAAGCTGCCAATGCTATACTTTGCTACTACATTTTTATAAAATAAGTACCAAGATATACAGAGGTTGTATAGTTCTTACCGAGCTCTGGTGTACTAGTCAGTCCGGTATGATGGTCCGCTGAAGTACTCGAATGCGATGAATGAGCGGCAGGATAACTGCCCACTCCGCTACTACTGCTACTGTCCTTATCATAAGTGTGCTTTTGAAGTACTCTTATCATTGCGTCTCTTTCGGCCAACTTCGACTCCAAATCTTTCATTCTACAAAGGAAAAAGCATGTAGTTTATTATATGATTTCAGATTTAATTGTCGATGAGATGATATACATCGATTTGAATGGTAAATTACCTAGATTCGAGGTCAGCCAATTTTTTCTGAGCTGCATGTACTTCGTCCATGTGACGCATCTTCTCGGATCGAGCTTCAGCTATTAGCTTTTCCGCGTCCTGACTTGTTTTCTCTAAAGCAGCTATCTTCGCATCTCTAACAAAAACAAAGGACAGTATATCAGTTGGATTGTAAAACCCGGAAAAAATATAAATAACTCTTAGCTAACAAAGATTGTCATAAAATGAAATACTTTATGGGAAAATCTAGCACTGTCTATAATGCAGTACTATTACAGTAGACAAGCTTGAATTAGCTTAAAGTAGATCCACAAATAATGAGCAGAAAAGGTATAATACTTTTTGATTATGAATAAGAAGATACTCACTTTGGAAGACTAGCTGCATCAATGGCAGCTTGACGTAGTGCGCTCTCTTCTAAATAACGTTGTTCCCATTTTGCGACATCGCCTTCCAGCGACATAATCTTTTCATCTCGCTCGCGTAATCTTCGCTTAAGATCAGCGATCGAGTCACCGTTCAGAGATTGTTCGTGGCTGTTAATACCACCTCGTCCACCTTCCCTTAATTCTCTTTCTAATTGGCCTCTCAATTGTCTCTCAGTTTCTTCTCGTCTATCGCTAGACGCTTGTAAAGAAGACAAAGCCCGTTGCAACTGACCAACTCTTTCTACGTACACTTGTTTTTTACGGCACTAATTAAAGGAAAATTTATTTCTTTCACAATTATTTCAAGTATTCACCATTTTCATAATAATGTAAAAGCTCAGTAACCTAAATCTTAAATTATAGATATCATTTTAGTGAAATTATATTTACTTCACGTACCTCTTCTTCAAGGCGTACGACATTCCCTTGTGCGTTAGTAAGTGCAGTATCAAGAATATCAATGTGGGTGCGTTGTTCCTGTAATGTTGCGCGTTGTGCAGCCAACTCGATTTCCTGTCTCTCTTTCGCAGCTGCGAGTTCCTTATCTGAGAGTTGTAGAATTAAGGTAAAACATTCCATACAGCAGTGTTACAACTGTTATACAATTAAAAGTAATACACTTACTCTGTGTAATGAGCTGTCCAATGAGTAGTTCCCGTTGCGTCAATTCTTTTCTCATTGATTCCACAATAGGCGGACTGTCCGTTCGGGAGGACAACAAATCAATTTGATCCCTCAGTGCGCGATTCAATTCGGTAAGTCGTCTACAATCATTCTGCAACCTCAATCTCGCAGCCCTTTCCAATTTCTCTCGGCGTTCACAGGAAGCAGCTAATTCTTCATGCGCGCGATGCACTTTCGCTATTTCCTGTTCCAGTTTCTGAGATTTCGCTACTTTGTTATAGCAACGCTCTAATTCAAGTTTCAAGGCACTGTTCTCTTGAATTACGATCTGTACCATTTCCGATGGCGGCCAAATCTCCCCTGCTGCCGTTTCTATCTCTTCTCTGCCTTTCGTTTGAGGACTTTGTAATAGAAAATGAAAAAGGCAAAAAAAATTACATTATCGCACGGTAATTAAACTTTCGTCTATTAAATTATTACGATCTTGAAAGATGAATTAATAAGTAATTGCTAATTAGTTTTATGTAATAGTTAAATAATTAATAAATATACGTTACCGTGGAGATGTGGCACGTGGATCATAGTTATCGATATCCGACTTGCCAATCCTGGACAAATCGGGTTGAGACCTGGATAAGGTAAGTTTTTCTGTAGGTCCAAGAAGTCTATGTTTACTTTTCAGTGGCAGTAATGTCGAAGTGTAAGATGGAGGTGGCCTATCTTCAAATTCATTGTCGTTCTGCTTCCCTCGATCATTCTCTCGCATCCTCATCTCTATGGTACCGCTGTTGTTCATGAGTTTTCCGTACGAGGGTACTTTAACTTCCTTCGCGAGGTGCTTTAATACCTGTACATAAGTGGGACAATAAAATAAGTGTACAGAAGAGAATGACATAGTCAAATGTCTCGATGAACAGGTATTAGTAGACTCAAACGGAACATGTAATTTAATTTTTACTCTATTGATCAAAGCTGCTTACCTGTGATTGACTAAGGTAATCATCAGGGATGTCAGTGATCTCCTGACATCCACCACCACCTGATTGCTCGTAGATGTGGTCATCGTGCGGTAAACTGGCTAGAGATTGCATAGTAGGACTATTTGAATGCCCTTTGCCTCCACCTTCGTTATACAAGTAGCCCATGTCCCCGTGTTCCCTCACCATGCCCGATAATCTAATAGCCATTTGAATAAATAATAATTAATTGCAAAAAAAAGGACAAAATGCAATACCGATACGGTGTATATATTTATAAAAGCACTACGTAGAGGACATTACGTACGTGTCAATGGCTTATCAAGTGGCAATAATTCTATTCAGGAAGCAACTAATAAATGACTATATCGCTCATGAATACAGTTGGTTACAAAACGAAATTCCTAAATTTCGTAAATAAAACGTAATAGCAGAAAAGAATTCGGAATTTCAATTACACAATCACTCATTAACAATTATTTCGATGTTTTCTTTTCTTAACAATTACAAGCAAAGCTATGAATAAGAACTTAATGTGAACGAATGGGCACATTTAAAATATATCATGAAATTCACGAATCCACATATTCCTGTATAATTAACAGAAAAAAATTATATATGTATACATATATAGTACCTTCCTGATGGTGTCCAAGAACTCTCATCGTTAGCGTTGTGTATAATGAGGGTGTTATACGAACTCGTTGAAACATCTAAACTGCTTCTATTGGATCCAACACTGGTGCGATTGCTCAAGTTATCTTTTAGACTGTTTCTGTTTGAACCATTGATACTATCTTTGAGGCTGTTCCGGTTCGAACCATTTAAACTCTCCTTCAAACTGTTTCTGTTTGACCCATTCAAGCTGTCTTTCAAACTATTTCTGTTGAGCAGGTTACCCTGTATTGTAATGAAGGATTTTTGTGTTATATAACATAGTAGCATAGCTTGCAATGCAGTACAAAGAGTAAAGATGTATTGCTGATTAAATGTGATTGCTAGTATGTATGTATTCAAGCCCCACCTAATAGAAGACTTGTACATAGCACATTAACACAAACCAGGTAATCAAACTGACTAAAAGTTCCTGACAAATGTCAGTATGTCAATAGTCAGTGTTTAGAAATGTGGTTGGCATCAAAAGATGAAAGGTATGTTAGGTCTCATTCTATCGTAATTGTTTTCTCACATTTACGTTTAACAGAGGAAATTAGTTACTACTAATTTATGATATCCAAACACTATTCTTATGTATATATAAATTCACGAAGTGTTGTATTTACTTGTATGTTAGGTATATTTTCCTTGTGACTTGAGGATCTGGATGGACTTTGCTGCTGATTTTCTTGACCTTGTGGCTCCTGACGAGCTGTATGCCTTATGACATATCGTTCTTCGTTACTCAGATTTTCATTTGATGTTGATACATCAGTATCACTACCACTCAGACTCTGTGGGAGTCCACCTATTATAAATAAAAATTATATATTATAGTACAGTGATAACATAACACTGTACTTGTAAATATTACTATATACTGATTACATTGAATATCTTTATAAATAAAAGACAATGTTAACTAGATTTGCTCACACATACCTTGTGCAGATAATTGTTTACGTTGTATATTATTATTAGCGAATGGTAAGAATCGACCAGTTTGCTGAAGTGAACTCATATTGTTACTTGTTCATCCATCCACGTAGTTTTTGTACCTGTAAATGGTTATAAATTTAGAATATATGTATCATACAAAAAACCACAAAAACATACTATTGCTAAACTATAACTAATAAATATTAAAACTCAAAAATCATCAATAGCAATGATAATGAGGCTATAAAAACCCTTGAATAATTTACTCTCTTGTTTTAAAGAAATTACCAAACTAATTTAAATATATGCAGACTATAGACCAGCTATATCTTATGTAAAATTTGACATTAATTTATACATCTTGGCTCTGGTTACAATAAATAAAAACATCCTCCAACTACAAACAAGACACAAATGAAAAATTCAAGAGACCTTGTACCAATAGAAGTAATACATGACTACATTCTAAAGGAACAGTGCTCATACATTTTTAATCTGTGTTGTGAAAGTGTAAACTTGATTACGCAAAGCACAATTTTTCCAATTGATAACATTGTTAAATATAAGCTCCTAGCCTGGCACTAATACACATAAGGCATCTCAGCTTGATACTGAATTGGCAAAGTGCAGCATGCGTACTACGCTCAACGACGGATAAGTCACAATCGCGTAGCACGATCTCGCGGCCTTAAAAAAACCAGACAACACTTCGGAATGCGGTTTTATTCATGCGATCCCGAGGACTTGACATTATATGGCTGTCCGAAAATTGAGGGACAAAGCGAGGACTATGGCGAATCACTAAGAAGGAACAAGGAGAGATAACGAGTATACAAGATAGAGATAAAACGAGAAAAAGGAGAAGGACAGAGGCATTATAACAGTAGTAAAGCAGAGCACTCTGACAGAGGTGTCAACAGTCTGGAATGTTGATAATCTGCAGATACGAGATTTTCATTATTGCGAAACAGTGAACGGGAGATATGTAATTTGCGAGCCCAGCGTCCATGGATGCGTTACGCGCAACGAAGACTTGAAATACTGAATTTGCACGTAGGCTCTGTATTTTTACAGCTTCAGAACTCACAGAGCTGTATAAATAAACAAAAGGACATCACCGAGCGCATTTGCCAGAGGATTCCGGCCCTCCGCACTAACTCCAATTGGCGCACCGGCTTCTCTATACGATTTTCCAATTACTCACACGATCGACGATGCAAGAATCACGAGGGAATCGCTATTATTCCAATAAATGAATACACTTCGCTGATCCGCGCACGGGAAATAAAAATCGCTAGTTCGCACATTCCTCGCCAGAGGGCGATGTTCCTAAAAGGGGCACTTTCACAACCACTTTTTTTTTCCCTTTTCATTACGTCTTCCCAAGACATTTGTTCATGAAATCATGAAAGCGCACGTCTGACGAAGAGAAACCTACCGATGAGTTTGCGTGTACGACAGAATCCGAGCATATTTCCTTGAATTTTTATGAACGCGATGCTACGAGCGTGATTCTAGATTTACTACACGAAATAAACGCAGCCATCAGTGAAATCGTCCCTGTCGCCGCGACGGAATATGTTACCGGCACATGTCCCCCATTGGAGATACAGCCATAAGGAAAGGAAGGAAGGAGGAACGGAATACGTTGTAGCTGTTCGTAATAAACTCATCCACCTCGGAGTTATTCTGCTGATATATTCTAAAACCATTTTTAATATCTTGTAATAATAACCTTGACAAGCTTCGATGTATATTTTAATTCAACTTAAGTCAAACCACTTTCCATTAAATGACTAGATGAGTTTTTGTTAATTGCAAGTTTTATATATATATTGTACTATGCGATCAATTTGATTGAATCACAAGATATTGTTTCTTGCTGTCGGTATATTAATTATGATTTTTAAATGAAAGATAATCCGTATTCTTGATTTTACGTACAATATCAATTACTTACGTTATTACTGAAGAATGAATGGGAGTTAGAAAAATTATATTTCTTTTTAATGATATATAAAGATTACTAGTTTATCAACTAATTAATAAGTAAATGTGACATGGTTCAGGATTACTCGTATAAGCAGTATAAGTAATTTCTCATGTAATTTGTTATATCTTCGTGATTGTATTTATGCAAAATATAACGATATTACTGTGAATCTCTGTTGTCTCTGGCACATGTCCCCCATTGGGGATACAGCCATAAGGAAAGGAAGGAATTTCTGTCGTCTGGAACGACGGTCGATTGACATGATCCGAAGCAAAGCACTTTTGCTGAACCAAAAATTTGTAGTCTTGCAATTTTCGATTAGAGATTTACGATACTTTTCAGGCATCAATGGTGTATCGAGTTATCCCTTCATAAACAATCGAAAAATTCAACAATATCCGGCATTTTCTGGTAACTTTGAATGTAAAAATATTTATTTAGATATTCAATTTATATCATGGCTAATGTGTTAGCCGGTAAGACATTTTAGCATGCATAAAATATCGTTTTAAGAGTCTATCGAAATTCAAATGTTAAAAGTAAACTGTTGTACACGAGGCAATAAATCTATATAGTATCTATAATAAATCATTTCTGTATACAAAAATATTTTGTACTTTAAATTTAAATTTTAATGGATTGTGGAATTAATATATCACCTTGATTTTCAGCAAAAAGTCATTTAAATTTTTCTATCTTTTATAATCTACAAGCACAAACAAAAGCAATGAGTGGAGAAGGAGACAAAAAGGCATTAATTGTTGACTATAATGATTTGTTAGAGGCTCAAAAAGATAATAGTGTTTTAATTATTGATGTACGCGAACAGGATGAAATAAATAAAACAGGAAAACTCCCTGGTAGCATTCATATACCAAGTAATTAATTAAAAGAGTTTTCTATCTTCTTTATTTTAGCTATATCAATTTATTTATTGTAACTCATTGTTTAAGTGGCTGATGTTAGCAATCTATTATCAAGTCTTTCTGAGGATGCATTCAAAGAGAAATTTGGTAAAGCTAAACCTGCAAAAGATACTAAAATCATACTAAGCTGCCATGCTGGAAGAAGAAGTGCTAAAGTTCAAGAAGAAATACAAAAATTAGGATATGAAAGGTATGCTATTTCACTCTATATATAATTTTGATATAATAATGACAGGTCAAAAGTTAATAATTAAATTTATTTGTTTTAGTGCTTATAACTACGTAGGTGGCTGGATGGATTGGGAAAGCAAACAAAAAGTTTAACTGTGGAAGATACAAGGCACATAACGAGCAATTCATATTACAACTTGCAAGCTAATTCTATTAAGGAATGTTAAAACATAGAAACTATGATATATTTGCACTTGTATGATAATTCTTGGCATATTTTTTATTTGATTAGTCTTGTTATACAGAGAAATATAGATTAGTATTTCATATATGTATGTAAACAGAATTTTCTTTGTACATCCCCTGCCATTAATAATTTGAATGATTATTTAGAGTTTATAAGTACAGCCTTAGTGTGAATAAAAATTATTTACGAATCCCACTTGCATAACAATTTTCTTTTAAAATACTATTTAAGATTTTATTTTACAATATAGTATCTTACATAATCAGTCTATATTATGAAAATCATTAAGAAAACGTTCTGACACAATTTAAATAATTTAATTCTTTTTCTGTTCCTGGGCCAACTTTTGATTAACCATTTCCCGAAATTGACCTAAAATAAGATTCTCTCTCTTTTGTCTTTCTTCTTTGCTAAACATGGCCAATGCCCGTTTCTCATCCGCCGAATAGATCTGGTTCTCTTTACGAATACGGACAGCCTCCATACGTCGATGCCTGTAAGGAAATTAAATAATTTATAATATTCTTATTTTATGCCATAGGTTAATTCCTATAAATCTTATTTTAGAATTATAATCAAAATATATACCTGCTTCCACTCATAACATATCCAACCGATTCATAAGATGCAATTTCATCTGATGTAAGACCAATTTCTCCTCTGCGAGGAATTCGTTTCCCTTCAGCTACATATGCAGCCATGGCGGCACCTTCTCCTGGTAACAATGCTTTTCCAAAATCTTTTGCTGATAATGTTACATGTTGTTTCTGTACAGGTCCAACTATTCCTTCGTCACCACTCTCATCAGAGCTAGACCCTCTTTTACTTTTCTTATTTTCTGTTACTGCAGATTTTTCAACCCATTCCAACTCTTCATTGCTCAAATTTTCATCAGAACTACTTTCGGAATGTTTTTTCTTCCTTTTCTTTCGTTTCTTTTTATCCTTTTTTTCCTTCTTTTCTTTTTTTAACTTCTTACTCTTCTAAAATAAAAAATCATTTCAAATATTTATTATAAACAATATCTTTTTATCATTCATTTGCATATAAACGTTTACCTTCTTTTTCTCTTTCTTTTTCCTTTTTTTATCTTTCGGTAAGATATCATCTTTCTGTTTATGTGTGACTTCATCCTCATCATCCGAACTATGAAAATAAAATATGTAGTATATTTAAAATTATTACTGAAAGATTATTATATTTTGCAACTAATAAAGTCTAATACGAATAGAAAGTCATAGTATGCCACAATAATAATTCAGAATAAATACAAAATTCAGCAGCTAATACACAATAATCTTTCATTCTGATTAATGTATGTTTACTACACCAAGAAATATATCAAATGATGTAAAATGTTGGAGATTAATTTACTCTTCTATACGTGTAGGAGATTTCCCCCAAACTCTGTCCACTCCACATAATCCAATTTGTTCTCGATCTCGTCTGCGGGCATCCATTGTAGAATTGGGTGATAACCGATTTATATTTACTGTTTATCATGAAATAATTAGTAAACTATCATTGAAGATTGCTGCAGCTGTGCCACTATGGATGTGTTCCGAAATTAGTTTTCAGTAACAGGCAGTACTGCACTGGTGTTCCATAAAGCCGCAGTGTGTTAATAGGTGGTACTTATGGTGACAGTGTTACTTTCTGCACACGTGGGTTCGTTTACAATGTAGGTTACTCTATTCTACAAGTTGAATTTTTTTAATAAGTAAACTAATTGCTATTTTTTTTTTAGAGCGCCTTTAATCTGACTGGTCTTTATGAAATATCTTGTTGCAGCAATTGATTTTTCACATTCTTATTACAATTTTTATCTGGAATGTTTATAATTTCCTAGAGCATAATGTCAATCTCTCATGAAACGGATGTCAGACCTGGAAAGAAAATCAAGAAAAAGGCAAAATATAGTAGTAATGCTGAAGTAAATGAGCAAGAACAACCAATAAATGGTTTTCAGGCATCTAACAAAGATCAGCAGAAAGTTAAGAGAAAGAAGCGGAAGGCAGATAGTAATGTTGAACAGTACTCTCCACAAAAAAAATCAAAAGAAAATGACAATTCAACAAGTGGAGGTAAATCATATTAAGAAAATAGTGTGTCAATTAGCTGTATCAATGTATCTATTATCATTTATTTCTTTGAGTAGTCGATGAAACTATCAATGAGGACAAAGAGTCTGACAGAGAAGAAATGTCAGCAAAAGAAGTACACCACATAACAGGCAAATCCTTAAGAAATAGTTTCAACTCGGCAGAGGGTTTAGATATGCTTCGAAAATTTATTACCATTTGTCAGGAAAATAAACAGCGAGACCTTGCTAGTGAATATTTACATGCTGGTGGTAGTGCACTAGAAGTTCTAAGGCTATTGGATACCTCTGATAAAAAGAGTATCAACAATGCAATGACTGTCTTCTCAGCAATGCATATTGTAATAATGAAGTAAGATTTTAAAAAAATGATATACATAATATTCATCCTTCATGGATTTACCAATAATTGCAATAGTTATTGCACATATAATTATACTCGTATCACATATGGATTGATTTCAGAATTCTAGCGCAGTATCCACAGTACTATTCGAGTGCTACAGAAGCCTGTCGTCACTTGGTGAACTCTCACTTATCCTCAGTGCATGCAATGCTTTCTGCACAAAGTAATGCAAAGCATCGACGAGTCATTTTACGATTATTAGCTGCTGTTGTATCACTTGGGGGATCATTGCCACGAGAACTGCTTAATCATTTGTCCTTACATACTCAGGTTTTGGATGCTCTTACAAAACATAGCAGACCATCTGATTCCCAAAGTGTCAGAACTTGTTTTATTCATTTTGTTCTTGCTTTCCTAGTCGAAGGAAACATTACTACTATCCGAGCATTATTAGATAAACGTGGTCTTCTATCCAGTATATTCCCTAATTTAGTTTACGACTCTCATACAAACGTTCATTTAGTTCTTACTACAGTGAGGACTTACGTTCTTGAGAATCCTGGAATTAGTAAAACTATAAAATTGCATACATTCTCGACACCTGTTGTACAAAGTCTTGTATCTCTCTACAATTGGAAAGGTCCAAAAAATTGGCCAGGATACAAAAAGCATGGTTCTGCTACATCAGACGTTATCAATCTTGAAGAAAAGGAAGTACGTATATGTTGCTCAGCAATATATTTATTTTTTTTTCATATTATATGAATGACACGTTTTATCTATTTTAAAAATAGATTGCGCTGGAAGCTGTTCACGAATTCCTACTAGTACTACTTACATCGAATCGCCATGGAATTATTTTTCATGACTATACTTTAGGTACCTCAGGTCGTAAGCACAATCAGTCAGTGAATATTATACTTCAGAGTCTAGATAGGCCCTGGGAACACGCCAAACCCTTAGATTTGGTTGTCAAAATTCTAGTAGCTTGTCCTGATCTTGTCAGATCACAATTCACGTATACAGAGCCCTTTTTAGAACCCAGAGTCTCAAAAAAATGGGTTTCTGTTATGCAATTTATTAAAAAGGTAATTATATTTGATCCAATAAGACCATTAAGCACAGAATTATAACATAGAAGATTCAACCTGTCGAATTGTAAAGTAGTATCTATTCCAATTGAACAAAAATTATTTGTTTCAGGTAATTGAGTCGATGGATGGTGAATCTTGTATAAAATCTTGCATAAATGAGCTCTCAGTATCTCAACTAATCAGTGCTGTAATTGCTTTAACAATGCCTTTATCCATTTTGAGAAAAGCTATTGTACCATCTTTAAGTCATGATAACATTATCCCGCGACATGTAGCGATGGATGTTTTTACAACAATGCTTACTAAACTTAGGGAATTTACAAAGATTATTGAAGACATTTATAAAGATTCTTCAGACCTTTCGCAACTCAAGCATGGAATTGCGGATCACATCCTTAAGGTAACATAGTCATATTTAGCATTATTAATTATTTTCCTGTCAATAACGCAATTAATACATAATTATAACGTTCATAACCTGGTTGTAAATTTATTCCAGAATGCACCAACTTTGGATACAATTTTATCAGTATGGATAAAAGCATTTACGCCAGATACAGATACTCTGTCTTTAACTGATGAACAGATTGAATTGATCCCTACGAAAAGTAATCATTTAGCAGTCATCCTTGATTTATTGCTAGCCTATAAAGATACTTGCCCAGGACGACTGGAAGCAGGATTCATATCGAATTCTGATTTGCAGCCAACAGTGCTATTAACGAAATTGAACGATTTGGCGAATATTAATGAAGAGGAATTGAATGATATGAAAGTGAAGGCTTTACAGTTTCTGTTAGCTTTGGACTCTTCTGTTTTTGATCCAAGCAGGGTAATAAATTAGTCATTATTACGATCATTGCTTTTGTTTGATTAAGTTCTAATGATTGGTACATATAGAGACTTTTAATGCGTTATACCTGATGTTTGCTTTTCTTCTATTATATTTCAGGAATTATTTAGTACAGTCTTGCCGTTTTTAATATTGCTATTAGACAGCCCATCGAGCTCTGCTGCATTACACACTAGAAGTACACTAATTTCCTTATTAAATACTTCTGGACTCTTTGAGGCATGTGATGATCAGACAGCAGTATGGATAGAGAACTTTTCCAGCTTACATGATGCCAATGAAAAACTCGAAGTAGCTAACTGGTTAGTTAAAATCATCAAAAGTGTGTTAAAGCATACAAATAAATACATCAATCAGATAACTAAAGCAGAGGAAATTGCTGGTGAACAAATTCTTAGTGCTGACAGAATCGCAGACATTTTTGAGGGTAAGTGAAATAAATTAATAAATAAATTCAACAGAATTTTTTACGACAGTTTTATATGTCAAACAATCAGATTATATGAAATATATGTGAAATGAAATAATTTTTTAGAACTTGCTAGTAAAGATGCGGAAAGTGATAATATTCACAGTGCAAATCTACAATCTATCACTCTAATCCCGCCGATTTTATGCGCTGCTCTTGAAAATTTGAAAAAGAATCCAAATGAAGTATTATTGCGTTACATTTCTTACGTTACTGTTAATACTCTCCATTATCAAGTAGCTCCTGGTACTTTGGTACATTTAGCGCAATATACCGATGAATTACCAGCAAGAAAGTATTTATTGAGTTGGGTACAAGATGGAATACCAATTCCCATTAAGAAGCATCTCGCTCCTAAAGTTGTTATAAGTAAACTGAGCAAAGTTTTATTGGGAGACAGTAACATTGACGTAAAAGATATTTTTATTGGAGATAGGAAAATTGCTTTTACGTATAACAACGAGAATGTCGAGTTTACACACTCATTGAACGAATACGAAGTTTTGTCTTTACTGAGAATGACTTTGTTCTATTTTACACAATTTTTACAACGTGGAAATTTTACTGCTGAACAAAATAGTAATTATTCGTTGGTCATTGTGTCTCTGTTACATATTGCTAAAGATTTGAGTAATGCAGAAAATTCATGCTTCATCAAAGAATGCACCAGGTGGATCTTTACACACCCTGTTATCCTGCAATATTTTTCTCCATTGTGTAAAAAGAAGCAGGAACTTCAGAAAAATTTTACAAGAAAGTTCTTGGATATTTTAGAAATATCAGTGAGGTTGAATGAGAAGCACGAGATTGCTGAATTACTGTTACCTTTCAAAGAGAAAACTTTGGTACAGTTGGAGACAGCAATAAAGAAATATCAAAATGACTCGAAAGTGAAGAATTCTTCAATGGTCATGGAATTCATTAGAATGTTGCAACTCAATATAAAAGATATCATCAGGCTATTCACAATTATCTTAAAACTGCCACAGGAAAACCTTCTTTCTCAGGATAAAATGTCGTTGAGTATGTGGGGTATTATTATTCCAAATTTATTGGAAATATCTTCAAAATTGAGAGGCTGTGTGGAACGGGGAGAATCTCTAACGCTTGATAAGAATATTATAGAGAAAATCAGTTCTGCTTTGGCGTATCTCTGTAGAAGCGATGTAGATGTTAGTGCTTGGGAAATTAGTTTACATAAATACTTGTTAAATTATCCTCACAATATTGCTGGGATTGATATAGGTAAGTAGCTTAGATATAAACACCGAACAATAAGAAAAACTATAAAAATAACACTACTATATATTCCAGGTTTATTTAAGTCTTTGATGAAGAAGGCTTTAAATCCCAAACCGATTGAATTCATCTCGTTTCTCATAAGTCGAAATCCAAAATTTATTGATCCTTTTATTAAATACATTACCAGCAATAAAAATACTTCGAATGAGAGTGATCTAGTATTTTCTGTACTATCGGGTACTTTAAATTGTAAATGGGATGTGGATTTTTTAAAGAGAGTATCTCAGACATATATAAAAGACATTCAGAAGTTCTTCATTGAACCGAAGATAGAGTATAAGTGGATTGAGAAAAATTTAAGGGCTGTAATGTACATAATAGATACAAATTTTGGTATGTACTTCCATTATTGTTAATACATTATGTCTCTGATACAGAATATACATTTAATTTATTTCTTTTATTAATTTAGATGCGGAGTTTTGTATCAGCGTTAGCAATACAATTTTAACAAATGGCGATAAATTAGATGCAGTAAATATAAATTACATAGAGTTGTTGGAATGTCTATTTAACAAGGCAGCAACTTTGCAAAAGAATAATGCGAATCCACTGATAAATTTCATCCAAATTCTGGTGCATATAACAGTGGCGACTCTAAAAAAAGAATCCAAAAACACGTCAAAGCTTGAAGTACTTTGTAAAAAATTATGCAGCGCCATCGAACGTAACAAATCGAAGGACACTGATTTTGCATTACCAGAATTAAGTAAAAATTATTCCTGGCCACAATTCACACGTTTCTCACTGAAACTAGGTCTTAAATCTTCCAAAGCTGAAAAACAGGAATCTCCATTGCTGAAAACTTTAAGCGCCTTGTGCAACGTAGCATACAAAGATAATGAAGAACATGAATATATAAAAACTTTATTTGAAATGACGGTGTCTCATTCGGAATTTATTAACATAATGCTAAGCTCCTCCGCCACGAAACGTAAGTTTATAACGAGTTTGATTAGTTCAATCTTCTTGGTTATAGTATGATTTTTCAATGCAAAAATTTTCATCTCATGTTTAGGTGATTTAGTGGAACTACTGTGGGTGCTTGTCAGGAAAAATAATTCCGTAATGGCTATGACTCAGATTCCATTATACTTGGCTGCATACAATGCTACACTTAGTGAGAGTGATCAATTTATTTTAATGGTATGCATCAACTTTCTTGACAAATGTGTTTTTATTAATCTCAACAGTACTATTTTTATGTGCTGTAGTATAATACACTGTGTATTAAATAATTTATACATTTTTTCAGCTTCTGCGGTATTACGAGAGTCATAATATTCGATTGAATGATTACCAACCGTATCTTTGGGGTAATGCAGCAGCAACGCATTACAGTGTGAAAGGCGAAATGGATACAGCCTTATGGCGACAACCATCGACTTCCCAAGTCTTGGATTTATTCTCCAACGAAATTGTCAACAATACAATAAGGAATTATCCTGTTCACAGAAGCTTAAAAGTGCGTATAATAAATTTATGTTTTCTTATATATCCTCAATATTTATCAAATGTTGTATGAATATTATATGTATATTATATGAATAATGTTGCGTTTACAGTGCGAAGAAAATGTACAAGCTGAAGATTCAGTATATGATCCAGCATTTTACTTACCATTGCTATCTTATTTATTATCGGATAACAATGTCGTAGCATGTCACAAAGTCACAAAAAGTGGTGCATTGGCATTGGCATTACTTTCCTGTTCAAGTATTTGTGAGCAGACTCGAATGGCAGGTTTTACTGTGATTTCCAGATTTTATTTTCATTTAGAAGCAACCAGGTAAGCCGTGGTGATTTGACTGTCAGCCTGCACCCAAATTTATTTCTGACAATAAGTTTAACTGAAAACATTTTTTAGTTCAAAAGAAAAGTTACTATGGATGCATTTTGTGGATTCATTAAAAAACGGTATTGCATTGTCAGAATCAGGCTTAAGGAATATTCGCCTGAGTTCTTTAGTAACAACGTTTTTGGCAAGGACATCCTTAGTTACGACGCAGCCTTTGAATCCACTTTATTCACCCCTACAGTCCTTCCTCATGGCTAAACCTGCTCTCGATATAAACACCATTCCTGAGTTTCTTCAGTTATTCCACAGTTCTGAGATAGAGCATGAAGCGCACAGACATTGGATACTCCGAGTGATTCGAGACGGAATTAAAACAGAAGCTGATATGGAAATGGCCCTTAAGTGTTTCCTTTTCAAAATGCTTCTTGATTTTTACTCATGCGCCTTGTCAACCTCTAAGACAAAGGTAAGACCGATAATAAATTTGTATGACAATATAATTGTCATATTTATAATTATTACAATTAATAAATCCATCAGATTCTCATATTGGAAGTCTTGGAATCGACAGTAAAACTCCAGAAAGCTGCTTGGATATTAGTTTCCGGTTATGCATTGTTACCATGGCTCCATGAGGCTGCGGAATCAATAGATTCTCGAGACATGGAGCTGTTTAACACAACAGTATCTCTTCTGAAGAATTTATTGAAATCAATTCCACAAAATCATTTAAAGAGTGGCCATGCACGGACAATGATTCTGAGCATATTACTGACATTGAAGTCACGACTGCCTAAGAACGTTAGCCTTACGTGCTACACAAATTATATAGAAGCCTTAAAGAATACATTGACAAACAAAAATATCTGTAAAGGTTTGTCGAAAAAAGATGTGAAAGATATAATCGACATGTCAAAGAAATTGCTGGGATCCATTAACGACTGTGAAGACATGCTAACATACAGTTGCGAGTTTTCAGTAAAAACAAGCGATTCACTAAGTAACGACGAGTTAACGATAGCAAAGATATCTTTGAAGGAATTAATTTTCACATGGTATAATCATAGAATTAAATAAAAACTTCAAATCTCTCCAATTCATGTGTACAAAGCTTCATTAAAAACTTTAATAAGAAGAAATTAATAAAAAATTTCTCAAAAAGATTTATAGCTATGTAAAATATGATTTATCAATTGCGTATATACTTTTTGTATAAAATGTATAAAAATATTCTATTTGCGCGGATAAAACGTGTGGACAAAAACATCGGCGTCTTTGTTGTGAAATTTGCCTTCGTGGTGGCGCAAAACAATCGTAAATGACCTAATAGTTTGTGGTGCGCTGATTGCTACACCTTGACGATATTCTTTTAATTTCGGTAATTCTATATCTAATTCTTCGGGAAATACATCAACCGCCTGATTGATAGCACCTTTATTCAATTCCTGAATAGCTCTTTGTACTTTTGGGGTACTTAAGACGTAATGCCCAACAAAGTCCTGATCGTTTCTTGACAAAAAACCTGTTTTCCAGCCATTCATAGAATAATTTTCCACGCTATCATTTTGACCAGTCGCATCAGGATGCGATGCGTGACCTCGCGGATGACCTGTAGCATTATGTGCGTGGCAAGGCTGATTTTGGGAATTATCTATAACTTTTTTCGCATCTCTTTTAGAGCTACCGTTATATTTTGCACCGCCTGTCATCACCTGAATATTTTGCGTGCGTTGTAATTCCTCAATTACTGCAATGAATTCAGCGACTGTGATTAAATTGGCTCTCATCCATTGTACGGTGGCTTTTCTAAGATCGTTAGACGATTTTTCCGTTTGGCATGCTACTACATCAAAAAGACAGTTATTGCTCAAATGCCTTCCCGGTGAAACCCAGTGCCCGCTTGATCCCCCTGGTTCTGGTGGAAGATATTCTACATTAACAGGTTCCTTGGTATTTTGTTCGTCAATTACAAGATCCTGGTCTTCTGGGATCAGGACTTTGACGGGTCGTTCAATTAGCCTACATAAAGCTAGTAAGTGTACAAGTCCTGCTGGACCATTTGCTTCTAACTCGTTTGTCAGTTTTTCCGCTTCTTTTAAAAGGTTTTGCTTAGAGAAGTCCGTTTCTGGTTCTCTGGCGGATATATCGTTAGAAGACAATCCTAGGCTACTTCCCTGGTGTTCTACCTTTTCTACATTTTATGGAATAATATAAAGCAACGGAAATAATTCAAAGTATTTGTATATTCACTTGTATGGAAACCAACGTTTCTTCATTTTTGGTTGATCATTTTGTTCATTCTGCTCTTGTAAATATTCTTCATCTACATTACTTGTCATTAAGGTATTACTGTTAAAATTAGTGACCTGCCCTTTGTTTTCCAACTTTCCTAAGTTTTTAAGAGTATCAAAAAATATAGAAATAGCTGGCTAAAGAATTATTTCATTACAATTAATTCTTTAATAGTTCGGAGTACCTACGTTTTTTACCGTTAACATCGTCCTCCATTTTCAATAATTTAATAATACACCATGATACGAATTTTTCATTTAGTTTGATAGTTAAATAAAATGTTAATATCTATTAGTTGGAACGCTTTTAAACTGTTACTTGGAATTTTGAGTCTTTTTGGCTAAAAATCGAAAACGTATATTGGCTGATGTTTGTCCCGCTTGGGGACTTTCTATCCAAAGAAGTAGGCAGATGTTTCCATTACTCATTTTTTAATAAAAGAATGACATCGATATTATAACACAAACATGGCAATTGATGAATTGGAAATAAATTGTAATAAAAAAAAGTCACAAAGCTTTTGTTTAATTTTCTCTTCATTATTTTCCATCAGCAAGCAAAACGTATATCTTTTATGTACATTTCATTTCCGAAGTATACTTTCGTGTACGCAACTTGAAAAATTTTATTGACACTATAACACAGCTTATTATTAAATTTTGCGTTTCGATAAAAAAAAAAGGTGTATTTACAGCAACTTAGGTACCCACTCGAAGCGTATCGTGAAAGTATACAAAGTTGAATATGAGTAACTTTATTTTTATTATTTACACACTATAGTTTCTCGCATCTCGCAGCCACATAAACTGGAGCACGATACATGGAAAACAAGTACGCCTTGCAAGACGCTATTTAAAAATAATTTTCCTATTTTGTTACAATTTAATTCACCTAAAATACCTCAGTTATACAAGTGTGTTGTTAACGATATAACGCCCAGTAACAAAAAATGTCAACGAAGGAAACTGTTTAAAATATTAAAATTTTGTGCGTGGAGACTTTCTTTTGCATATCGTTAAAGGATCTCTGCGTAGTCTTTTCAAAAAGGCATTTTTGTGAATCTGTGTTTTCACAAGTTACTGTTGTCTTATAGACAAAATGCACTGACTCAGTGTTACTGAATTAATCGTTTATTCAACGATTCAATCGTTTTTTCATTTGAGTGACGATATTCAGAATATTTTGGAGAAATTTACTTCACATCGTAATTTTTGCTTGTACAAGCTGAATGATTGGCAGAATTTGTCGTCAAAACAACTGTCATTGATGCTGGGGTGTCTGACAACTGAACTGGTTTCCTACGTCGTGCAACGACAATGACTTTACATTGTTTCTTTGGGGACTTCACAAGTACCTTCTTTGTCACAGGAGCATTCTTGTTTGCTGAGGTAGATTTTATAGGACATACAACTTTTTTTGAGGGCTTCATGTCTTCTGGTTCATCAGACAAATGATTTAATTCACTGGCATTTGAAATGTTAGAGGCATCTGATAAATCTTCTGAACCAGAATCAGTATCCGAATCAGTACTGCTGCTTTCGCTTTTATCTAAATTATTTACTGCAATTGTTTTAATTGCTTCTAAATCATCATTAATTTTTCTTGGTTGCACAATATCATCTGAAGTTATATTTAATTCATTTTCATTGCTATGAGATTGATTTTCTACTTGAGCCGTATGATTTTTACAACTGTCATCAATCTCTTTACTTATAACAATTTTGTTATTTGCATCTATTTTCTTCATAGAATTTTCCATTAATGAGTTATCAGCGAACTGTTCAACAGCGTCTTGTAGATTTTTATTGTTGTCGATAGTTCTTGTATATTCTTCTTGAATATTTGCTTGATTATCACAGTTCATCAAACTTCTTACGATACTATTATTGTTAACAGAATTCTCTTGGTTAACTTCATGCTCTAGTATTATTTGATGATTACTGGAATTTGTATCTGTTAACATTACTTCATTTTTGTTTCCAAAATATGTTGACTGAAGAAGGTGCATACCAGATTTACTGTTTGGCACTTTATCATCTATATGGTTCAAACATTTAGGACTGCTACTCCTATTTTTAACACCCTCTTTTAATTTTATTTGCTCTTTTTGTAATGGCACAGCATCATTTGCAGATGATTGTATCTTTACATATTGGTAATTATCAGTTATTGTTGATGTTGTATTAATTTCTTTGTTTCCCTTCATATTTTTTATGCACTCCAGTTCCAGCTTTCCACAACTTTCTGAAAGGTGAGCACTATTTCCTATGTTTTCTATAATTTCACTACCACTTTTCTCCAAAACGTCTTCAATATTCCCGGCTGAGTAAGTTAATTTTGTTTCTTTCTCGACAGCACTTAGATCAGTACTTGCTAATTCCAATTGAGCCTCATTTGAATCATAGTTTTGTATAAATAACTCAATATTTTCTATTCTTTCATCCTTGGAAGAATTCAAATGGTAATCGGAGCATTTACTAGATACTTCCTCTGTAACATTTCTTATCGAATTATCGCAATCCTTATGTATGTTGGCGTTATCCACATTGACATCTATTGGATTTTTTGAAGACTCTTTTCTACAATCAATTGGATTTTTAATTTTACACGAACTGGCTTTTTTTGGACTAGAATTTGGAGTATCAAGAATTTCACCATCTTCCAAAGATTGTAAGCTAACAGTTTCCGCATTCTTGTCTTTACTGCTCTTGTTAAATGCCTTTAATTTTAATTTTCTACTTGACTCGTCTCTGGTGCAGTTTGACGACGTTATCCTTGTATTATCAGAAATAATTTTATTAGATACTCTAGATTGTTTTCCACCTTTGTCAATACCGCTGTTAGTATTACTATCCCGACTCTTAGATCTATCCTTTTTCGGTCTAGACTCGTGTTTTCTATTTTTGCTGGAATGACTGTCCTTCGAGTCTCTGTCTTCACCACATTTATTTTCAATTCGTTCCCGTAAATCACAAATTTCCCTGCTAAATTCACTGAGGCTGTCACCATCTTTATTCCTATAATCTCGTCTCTTCTCGAACCTATCTCGTGAACTTCTATACCTTTCGTCTCGACTCCTAATGGGTCGCCTGTCGTATCTTTTCTCTTGTGATCTACTGCGAGACCTATAACGTCTACCTTTATCATGGCGTAGTTCTCGATCACGGCTTCTGGAGCGATTTCTATCATCCAGGCTGCTATCCCTTTTGATCTCAGAAAGTCTTTTGCTTCGATCAATATATGGAATATTAGAACGGTCAGGATCGATACCTTCAGCAAGTAGCATGAGTCTTGAGGTAACTCTTATGTGTTTGTCATCAGTTGTTTTAGCATTAGTGGATACTATATCGTCAGGATGATTATTTTTCCGTTCTTCAGTTGGTAATGAATTAAATTTGTACTCAGAATCTTCTGCGATAGAACTTTCGCCTATTTCATTGAATTTCCAGTCATCACGTGAGTCCTTTTTCGCGTGTTGGTACTGATTTGCACTTTGAGATTGGTCACTGTGAGAATTTGTTAACTTTTCCATGTATCGTTGTCTTCTATTGTATTCTGATCTATCCTGGACCAATTTTATTCTTTTACAATCCTCTTTGTTTCCTTCTTCATTGTTTATTCGTTTTCTCTCATGTTTGTGTACTAGAATTGCTCTGTGCTTGGAAGAAGCTGATGCATTATTGGATGAATTAAGAATGTCAGTTGAACTAAGACTAGGAACTTTTTCGCATTGTGATTGATTCTCCTTATTATCAATTGCGCTTCCTTTATTAGCCTCAGTTATGGCAAGAGTTTTAATGGCCTCTTCTTCACGAGCAAGTCTCTCCTGTTCCTTCTTTTGTTCTTTCTGTATTTGCTCTAATTCTTGTTGTTCGGTTAATTTTTTACGTAAGCGCTTACCAAATACGGTATTTACTACTTTTTCCGGTTCATATTTCTGCTCTGTATCTTCATCTTGATTCTGATAAGCACTTGAGGGAACAGTGCAAAAATATTCTGTGGATTCAGTATAATTGGATGTCACTATATTATTCTCCAAGGAAGACACTGTTTCCTTTTTGATATGCCTTCCAAATAATTTGGATGAGCGCCTCTCTTTGGCTTCAGTTGATCTCCCATAAAAACCACGTCTAAATACTACATTACTCAGTCTGTAAAAAATTAGGAACATTGAAAATGATAAAATACACTTGAAGAATAAATATACAATTAGTTAATTCAATATTAAATAAGCAAATACATACTCTTCCCTAGTCTCAGCGATCATTCTATCCTTCCTAGAAATTTCAGCCCTCGCTGTCTTAAGCAAAGAAGATAGATTAACTTCCAAAGTCTTGTTTGCTTTTTGCAAAGAATCCAATTTTGTAGAAAGTTCAGATACTTGTTTCTCTAAGTTGAAACATTTTTCTGTAAGCTCCTTGTTCTTTTTAGCAAGCTGAAATTGCAGGGATGTCAACCTAAGTCTTCCACAGGAACAATAACATAACCTATACCGTGTCGCTTAATGAAATCTCACGTTACAATCTTCCTCTACGTTGAAGTTGGGCAAATCCTCGTAGATGTCGATATCCTCTTCCATCGCGGTTGCTCAAATTCTCACAATTTAAAGCATGGTCTTATTTACAGGTCTGGGGGTTGTGGGTCTGTGCACTTAGCGTAAATGGACGTGCCGTTTGGGATTCCGGATTTTAGTTCGGAATATAAGGCGTTAGTATCCGAGGAGCCTGTTTGTACACATGCGCAATCACCCGTTTTTTTCATCCACTTTCAAACATAACCTATCTAAATCTGGTTATTGTAACTGTCATTTGTCAATGTTATTATTTTTCCGGTCCTTTGGACATCGAATAGGAAAAGTGTGCTGAGGTTAAAACAGTTTAAAATGGCTCGAAAGTGTATAGTGCTGAAATTTAAAAGCGGATATGAAAGTAATAAAGAACGAATATCCTTTTTTCATGGGAAAAAAAAGATGAAGAACTGAAAAAGAAATGGATTGACATAATTCCAAACACCATTTAGTTTGCGAGAAACATTTTCGAGAAACCGATATAATTCGACACTTTATCCATAAAGATGCTGCAGGAAAGGTTATAACAAAGGTAAGTTAAATTCATTGACAAAAGTGGAACTACACTCTGTAGTCATAAATTAACGAGTTCTGTTGCTACCCTTCTTTTCTTTTACTGAAAATAAATGTAATATGTATTTTCTTAATATACAGATATCATATCAATTTCCAAGACTCATCAATGAAGCGGTTCTCTCTGTTTTCTCTAATATCAAAGGCTGTTCCAACATCATACAGAGTTGAGAAGTACATGAGTACAAGTACATTGAGTATCGAGTAAGAATTCCATATATAATTATATATCAGGTTACCATTGTATATGTATATTCGATTATTGATACTGACACAATATCTATAGCAACGCATACATCCACTTGCTCAAACAATATTATTCGTATTTATGTTTTTATTCTATCAGGAACCTGAGCAGTACTCTATTATAACTGACATGACAACTCCAAATAGTAACCTGGATGGAAATGCCCCCGAATCTATGATCGTTGGCAACCAGATATTGAAGATAACTCATGATTATCAAACTGAGTATGAAAATGGAACTTTTATAAATGAGACAAAAGTTCTACTGGATAACAAATTAAATCAGATTATTTAAAAATGCGTACGCATCCATTTTTTCAACAAATCACGAATGCTGAACACTAAACAAAAGGTGTTGCAAAGAGGAAACAAGCCACATTTTATAAACATTAAATAACGAATAAAACATTGTTATATATATTTCAGGAATACTCTCATTGTATTTATTTCTAAACCTGGATATGTTATTAAGTGCAATAATAAGTTTTGGATGTCGCAGGGAGATGCTAAAGTTTGTTATGTAGCTCATGACTGCTTGTAGTCAAAATTGGTTATCATTTCATATTCTTTATAAATCAAAGAAAGTAGGAGCGTCTCGACATCAAGAAATTACATATTATAGTACAAAATGTGTATATTTCTCGGATCTCTTTTGTAGCGGTTTATATCTATACGCATCTACGCATACGTGCATCTATGATGCACATAGAAGCGGCCGTAGCCCAGTAATCAAGGTAGCGGATTCATGATCTAAAGGTTTGAAATTCGCGCCCAGCTCCTAGCAGCATTCACCAATGGATTTTCATACAAAAAATTTAATTGTAAGTAAATAATCATACGGATTTTGGCCCAACCCTGCTCGGATTTTGGGTATAAACTTTGTAGCCCCCGCCCCCCACTCCATTATTGGGGACAGCTATAAGGGCTATAAGAAAAGGAAGGAAGGACTCTGGTGCGCATGTGCCATTAGAGACGAGATGCATTAGGCTCCTCCGACACTAGCGCAGCGGTCATAAGTGGAAACTTTCAGAGTCATCAGGGTTACGCTTGGGAGATGGGTGAAACGCGTCAAGTGCCCAAACCTGTATATAAGAAAACCATGATTTAAAGTATATTCATTTTAAACAGATCAAAATCTTCCCTTGGTAGAATATTATTTAAACACGGCCATGCTATGATAATTCCTCTACAAACAAATTGAGGACCTCTACAATGAATATTCGTACAATGAGTAGAGACAATCGGTAACAAAATAATGTTTATCAAACTATAACAAGTAATTAAAATTAACTATTATCTCAGGAATGACTTAGCAGAAGCCTAAAGTTATAAAAAATTTGGCAAGCCAAGTGTAACTTAAGGAACTACACATAACTACTTAGAACTGTACAGTACAGAATTTTTGTACCTCAATAAATTATTACAAAGTTCCGTAATCTCTCATACAGCCGTAAAACACTTCCCTTGCTTGTCACCTAATAAATCTCCTAAAGAACACATCTATTTTACAAAATATATTTCCGCAATCAGCTTAAAAAGAAGATCAAGCTACATCAGAAGTTAAAAGTTTTTCACCATTTACATACAAATATAACCATCTTTTATCCTTTCGGAGTACAAAAATCAGCGGTTCTCAACTGATATAAGCACAAATACTAAGGAACCCACAAAACAAAACAAATGAAATTCATACTCTGCCATGAACAGAGTGAGCAGGTGTCTGCCATTATTATAAGTATTGGTGTAATGTTAGGCGTGCGCAGAAACTCGAAAATCCAGTGGTTGTCAGCCAAAAGCAAATCAAATTTAGAGTCCCAATGATGCCAAGGAAACATTGGCCGTATGGCGTATCCAGGTATATCATACTATACCTATAGTGTATGATGCGGGGTAACCGCCATTACGAAGAATCACTGACTATAGGTGGGGATAGCCGAGAAACGACAGTTCGCAGTTCGTGTTCAGTGGTGACGCGCACCGTTGGCTGCGTGGTTGGTGCGCCAGTTACGTTCGTACATTTGATCCTCGTGCATTCGTGGCAAGTTCCTTGGAAGTCTCGATATTCTTCCAGGACAATAGAATAAAATTTTGTTTTTTGATTTCAGTGTGAATATATATATGTAATATATATATGGTATATTTAGATATTATATATTAATATACACGGGTGTGCCGCGATCTAAGTGCATCCCGCTATGCGTACCGGTGATATCGCGCCTCGAGGTTGTCATCGTCCTAAATCCTTAGTTATATCCGTTATCATTATCATTAGTCGCACAATGCACGATAAATAATACACATCATCCAGAAGAAGGCAGCCAACACACTAAGAAGTATGGAGCTGTGATTTTTCAAGGAGAAATCTCCCGTGCCTCTGCCTCTTACCTCTGAAAAACAAGGTACCTGTGCCACTCGCTTCTCTAGCCGCATATAGTCGGACCTGTTGATACTGGCCACGTTTACCTGGAGATCTTTTATACAGCGTGGCTTCTCATCGCTTAAGAATCTTCACTTGCACTACTCGTCTTAAACCTTTGCCAGTTTTATTACACGAGCGGATTGAACGATGTGTTTCGCCTTAGTCAGTACATTGTTTGAATTCATTTTTTTATGTAGCTCCTTGAAGAAATTACGTTTGCACTTGTCACTGAATGTTCTTGAACAAGTTCAAACGTAATTGCACCTGCCTCGATATATTTGTGAATCAGTCGAAATAAATTAGTTTGCAGATACATTTACGAATGCAAAATAAATAGTTCGAACAGTCCGACATATTTGTTTGCGCGGATCACGTTTCGTAATAATTGCTAACTGAGGGTAACTGTTTCTATCTTTCGATTTAATCGATGATATATTCATCTGCTTCATCTAACGTGATTTCGTTCTTACCCTCTTTGCATATTTTTATCCTCATTCTCCTCCACGGAGTTATTGAGAAAGTTTTGCGATTACCGAGAAAATGGCGAATTCTTGAAACTTCATTAGAGTTTTGACGGCATAATTATTTGAAGATTTTTCTTTCTTTGTCATTTCTCGTATTGTCTTCTTACCTCTCTTTGCTTTAACGCAAAATTCCACAAACCCTGTGAACTGTCAAGCCTTTCACTTTTATTGACTTGCTAAAAAAAACAGAGAGGGAAATAAAAGAATGAAAACTAGTAATTTTCTGATTTTAATACACGCGGTAACTTTTATTATCGTCGAAATGGTAATAATTGTATATGAAATTAAATCTGTCAGAATATTCCTTATCTTAATATGATTATCAATTTCTCATTATTATTAGTGTCTTTCGATTTTAGTGATTAGCTTTTGAGATACTTCGCAACGATGGCACAGTTTTTAGTATTAATTAAGAGATTCTTCGTAAAATTGCGTCACATTTTTTCCACTCGTAAACAATCGATATATGACCTCATCGATAAGGGGGAGTTATCGATCGATTTGAAATATCTGCCGAGGTAACGTCTTTGTCAGATACGTAAACCATTGTTGGATGTTCAATAATACATTTTCTATAATTTTACAAACGTTCTCGCCATTTAGTATCGCGACCTTAATAGTAACCTTGAGTAGATTTGAAGGATGTAGTAAAACGAACTGAGTATAATGACGCAATTGAATTAGTATTTTACTCTTGACTCTCTTGCTCGACAGTATGAGAATTTGAAACGGCCTCTTCCTCTCGACGATTTAATCACATTTATTTAAGTTTTTTTCTCCCTATTATTTTTTTCTCCATTATTATTTTTCGCGTACAGAAACTCATCTGCATATTTCCATCTGGTGTGGAACGATTGACAATTAGATGGCTGGGGCAATTCTTTCACACCGTAGCGATAAAAAATATTCATGAAATATTTGTTATTGGGAATTGAAAAATGTATGCGATTTATTTCTCGGTAAATTGCAATAGACTAGTCGAATATTTTTACACTGGATATTTATTTTTTGCCATGAATCTCGCAGTGGCACAAGAAAGATGGCGATGAATAATTTTTATGTTACTGTATGATGGCTGAAATTAGATGAAAAATTATGTCTAGGTACGAACCATCCTTTATGTCATAATGTAACAGTCTAATATTCCGATTCTGTAAATTGGTACCATCTGATAATAACTACTCGTCTCAGATTCACCTTCGTAACCTTCATTCACAACTGCTCTTACGAGCTACACAGTACTATGAAGCTCTACGTGTCAATTTAACCTACGCTAGGATCTTCGATCAAACTTCACATCGTGGTTACCGAGTTGAGGTGAAACACCTGACATTATTTATCTATGAAACCGACATACTTATTGGTGAATCACCCAGTTCGGATACGCGAATAGATGGATGCCTTTTGATTTATTTATAGAACAGTATTGAAAGTGCGTCTGTGAAAAATGAGGTGAGAAAACTATTCGACGTTTATCAAAGCCTGTCGATCAATCATTCACGATTACTCGGACTTTTCGATACCGATAAATATCAGGAAACCTGTATCGCTTGATAGAGTTTTAAAACTTTACATATATCCATAGTCGCGTACTACTTGAGCATATTGAGAGACTAGACCTAAATAAATCGTGACCATAGAATAAACGACTTCTCGAGAAATCGTTACACGTTGCTACATATTTGAATAAATGAGACATAATTTTGGCAGTTTCCAATCGGACGAGCTTTGAATCTAACATTTACATACTTCGTTCGCCCATTTGACTTCAGTAGTTTAACATGGCCGCCGACGTCTCGGAGGAAAGTTTTTTTTTTTTTTTCTTTTCGTTACTGAGACCCAATGTGGTAAATCGGAATATTTGGAGACGTAATCTTCTCGGGACTCGTATAATATAATAATATACGTCGTGCACGGAGACCGGATAGCACAGGCAATTAGTATTCCACGAGGCTGCCTTACAACTCCTCCCCAGCGTATCTGACAAGTCTTCTGGCTACCTTTTACTACGGAACCACGAGAATCGTTACTCGCCACTCGCCACTCGCGCTACTCGATACTACTTTATACGCATACTACTCTAGTCGCACGTAAGATATGTATGATTCAGCCATGTGATGGTAACCATACACCAGAGCAGCCATCGGGACAGAGACACAAAACCTGCCTCAACCTCATCGCCATCATGTCCATTCTCGACGGTCGTTCTAGTCTCGATTTCACACAAGTTCCTACGCATCCTCGATCATGCTACAAAGTGATTTTATTTTTCATTTCTCCCCTGTTCAACCTAACAAACTTTCTTGCGATACTGATAAAAGCTATGGAATTCTCCGAATACCCGGTACGTTAAGCGATAACGTGATATACACGAATATTTGTTTATAATTAAAAAAAAAGGATTCGATTTAACGTTTCACAAATAACGTATAGACCTCGCTCGCGTTCTACCAGCTATTCTATTTCCTCTAGTTTATTATACCTGT